TGTGGGTCACAACAGAAACAGTCTTAATGAAGAAGTTATGAGCAAATCAGAGCACAACAAGCCGTGTTTGTCAAATAGAAAGGACTTTATCTTTTGCATACTTTAGAAAGAATGCTTTGAGCTGAGAGCTGATTGGCCGAGGGAGGACAGTCCTCTCTTTTCTCATTTTTTATCTGACAAAGCTGATCTAAAGAAGCAACAGAAGCCAAACCTATGCATGTGGGTTAATGTGTTTTTCTGGTTTGAATGTTAAGAATCTAACTTTATCAGTATATATTTTGTCAATATCCCAAACATCCATTTTTCCTTTTTGTCATAAATCATAAGTCTGCTTTACCAAGATAGATGGATACATAGATACAAGCAGAGAAGTTCTGAAAAGCCTCAGTCAGGTCCACAAACTACGAAAACTCAGACTTCCATGAACCGACAGTCGGGGAAGTTTTCTCTAATAATATTAACTAATAGAACAAGCAGATTAAAGCTTAACTTGACTGCATTTTTACAATAATTCATTCATTTAATTAACATTCATCCAACTAACTTCTCACAGAACAGTTATGTCTGGTTTTCACATTCATATTTATGTCACAGCCTCACTCAGCTCTGCCCAAAGAGTCAGATAGTGACTCACGGGGCTCTTTATTACAAGTTTATAACAAGTTTATAACATGTTTATTACAGGATTGATACGTTTGTTGTGATCTAACTTATTTACATTTTACTTTTAAGACTTTCTGTTGGGACTAACGACATGTGTTAATTACATGGATCTATAATAATAACTGTTAATTCTGGTAAATAAAGTTAGGTACCTGCGCTGTGAGTCTGATTTAAGACTTATAAACATTAAGTGTCGGTGTGTAATATTTGTTTTATTATTATTTTAAGAACAACGTTTCAAAACAATCAAAATTGCACACTTTTTTCAGCTGTGCAGTGGAGCGATCATAACATGGAGTAACGCGAAAACGAAAGAATAAACTCAACGCGTCAAACCCTGGAGCTTATTCTCATAATTATCTTAAAAGGTGTAAAGGAGGATTTTCTACTTCCGGGTGGATCATCAAGACTATTGGTCCTCGCTTGTCAATCATTCTGGTGATTTGTGCTCCTAAAATAAGATCTAAGATTTTTTTTTTTTTGTTCAAAAAGTGGAGAGGGCAGTTCTTTCCTACAGTTTGTGAAAATCCTTTTATAAACCTTTAACTCCAGAATGTGAAATAATAACATTCCTGGAACCAAGCACCAGACTGAGTCACATCCGCGCCTCCAATGGACTCGTCCCCGTGAACCCCGCCGGGACCAGAGTCAGAACACGGGGCCAGTTCACGAGCAGTCGGACAAACGACTTTCAGGTACGTCACATATTCAGGTCAGGTGGCTTCAGGTCTAAATTTGGACAGATGTTTGTAACTAAAGCTTTTTTTATCAACAGGAAAAAATAAAATAATGAATCACTTCGGGAAGATAAGCATATTATTTGTTCCAAGAATATGCATTTTCTGAATAGTTACTTTACTAAAAAAAGTATATAATTATGGAGTTTGATTATAGTTTGGTTTAAACAGGTAATTTTAAAGTATGTGAAACGTTTATAACACTTTATAACTTTAGCCTATTTCTTAAAGCTGAGGACTAACAGTCTGTCGTACATATTTGTCCCAACATAATCCCACTTAAAGAGTGACTAAACACCTGTGCCCAGCCTGACTCCGCCCACATGAAGATTTGAACATTTTCTCTAAAAAGGGCGTTGCCCAAGGACCAAGGGACAAGAAGGGGGGCTTAGAGTTGGGCGTGGTCTGGGCTGTGATTGACAGCTTACTTGTCACACAAAAAAAAAAACAGACAGTTGTCATTGCTGCTTAAAGAAATAGTTTACGGACCAGAAAGTCTCATTCCACCCTTGTTTACACACTAAGATAATTGTAAAGCTACACACCTGAACCTAATCACACACAATAATCTCAGAATTACTCATGTAATTTAATTCTAATCCACTAGATGTCACCAGAATACTCCAAACTGCTGCTGGGGCGTGTGTGAGAGTTGAATCGGTTTATATCACAGAATCAGACAGACTGACGTCACACAAACCAACTGACGTCGCGCACACCAACTGACGTCATGCACACCGACTGACGTCACGCAAACCAACTGACGTCGCGCACACCGAGTGACGTCACGTCACCAACTGACGTCACGCACACTAACTGACGTCACGTCACGGACACCAACTGACGTCACGTCACGGACACCGACTGACGTCACGTCACGCACACCAACTGACGTCACACAAACCAACGGACGTCACGCAAACCAACTGACGTCACGCAAACCAACTGACGTCGCGCACACCAACTGACGTCACGCACACACCAACTGACGTCACGCACACACCAACTGACGTCACACAAACCAACTGACGTCACACATCACTCCAGAGCCAATGAGAGGCCAGGATCAAATTCAAATGTAGTACCACTGAAAAGGTAGAGAGGGCGCCACACAGACGTTTTTTGGTTCAAAAGTGACATTTTATCTAATTTGAACTAAAATGTCAAAAAAAATGACCAGGATATGTAGAGAGCACTACAATAAACATACGTATGCAGTATATGAGTTTAAAAAAAGTTGATTTGGTGTTTAGTCGCTCTTTCAGTCGTCCACCGGACTCGTCCCCGGGGATCGGCTCACCTCCTCGGCGTGTCTCCGCAGAGCCTTCTCCCGCTCGTACTGCGTGACCAGCTGCTCGTTGTCCTCCTTCAGAAGCTCCAGCTCCACTTCCCGCTCCTGGCTGACTCCACACGCCGCCTCCAGGCTCTCCAACACGGCCACCACCAGCGGCATCAGCTCCTTCACCACCTCCTCCCCGTGCCTCTCGATCAGCCGCTCAAACTCCCGGTAAATGGAGCTGGCCAGCCCCGACACTCGCTCCGACATGACCGCGGAGCTCCCGGAGTCATCGTGGTAAAGGACGACTTCATCCAGCTCCATGTTTGAGGAGAGCTAAGCCGAAAACAGCTCGCCTCTCCTGGGTCACTCCGCGCTAGCACCAGCCTCTCCTACTAACTTTACGCGCTCGCTAAAACTTTCTAAAACATACTTATTCCACGTTTTCACGCCAGTTTTCGGTGTGAGTTGTCAATGTTTGCCGGTTCGGGGGCTGTGGAGCTCGCTAAGCCCGAGTTGGAGCTAGCAAAGCGGGCACATGAGTCTTAAGTTGGCTGATTAGTTTCCCCTGGTCCCACAACAACAGAAGAGCTCCAGCTGCTGCGTTCAGGGGCAGTGGGAGAAAACGTTTCCTCTGGTCCCACAACAACAGAAGAGCTCCAGCTGCTGCGTTCAGGGGCAGTGGGAGAAAACACAACCCAGGCACAAACAGCGGACAATCATGTGCGCTGCCCGGGGGAAAGCTCTCCGAGGGGTCACGCAAGATTATAAACCGCTTTTTGTTCACGGAGAAGTCATATGAACTCGATATGAGGAGAAGTGACATGTTTGAGTATTGTTCTGCTTTTATGGATATACAAGTCCTGCCTTTGTAGTCAGCGATGGGAATAATAAACTGTATTAAGTTCCACACTGCAGAATACAATACAATAAAAAGTTAATGTCTTATAACACTTTGTTATAGGTTTGTTATTGTTGATTAAAGCTGAGGGACATAACTTACATATAACCACGTAATAAAAACATCTAAACTCTCAAAACAGTTTGGGACGATCATCAGTCTTCACACATGTAATTTTTGTCTCGGTCACATCTTTAGATCCACTTTTTCAGACAGAAAAGTGAATCAGTCCAACATTTTTCGATTGGAGAGATACTTTTCGACATTTTATACAGTAAAATGTAGCACTGTATAACCCTACATTAGTGAACATGTGCAGGTGAATTAGATGGAACGATAAATATGTAATCATTTGGGAACACGTGTTAAATTCATGAATCCTTAGGGGAGCAAAGTGGTTAGCGAGCTACTGGTAGCTCCTGAGCCACAGGAGTCCATCAAAGTGCAATAATTGAGGTATTCTGTAGGTCTACTGTGACTTGGCGTCAAAGAAGAAAAAAAAACTAGCCACACCTTACTATAAGCCGCAGCGTTCAAAGTGCGGGAAAAATCCGGAATTTGCTGTAAATGATGAATGTTGACGTGTGTTGCTTTCACAAGTGTGATTATGTTGGGACAAATATGTACGACAGACTGTTAGTCCTCAGCTTTAAGAAATAGGCTAAAGTTATAAAGTGTTATAAACGTTTCACATACTATAAAATTACCTGTTTAAACCAAACTATAATCAAACTCCATAATTATATATATTTTTTTAGTAAAGTAACTATTCAGAAAATGCATATTCTTGGAACAAATAATATACATTTCTTCCCGACGTGATTCATTATTTTATTTTTTATTTTTTCCTGTTGATAAAAAAAGCTTTTGTTACAAACATCTGTCAAAATTTTAGACCTGAAGCCACCTGACCTGAATATGTGACGTTCCTGAAAGTCTTTTGTCCGACTGCACGTGAACTGGCCCCGTGTTTTGACTCTGGTCCCGGCGGGGTTCACGGGGAGAGGACAGAGGAAGATGAGGAGGTTCATGGGGTCAGAAGAAGAGAAGAGGACCACCCTGTTCTGGGATGGGCCGTGAGTCATGAGTCAAATGTTTGGAGGGACATTTACAGACTTTTACAGACTTTTACAGACATTTACAGACATTTACAGACTTTTACAGACATTTAAGTAAGTAAGTAAGTAAGTAAGTCAGTCTATTGTTAAACAGCAGCAAGTCGCCCTCAGAGAACGCAGAAGGGCCTCGATCTATAAGCAGGAAGATGGATGGAACAAGTGTGGCAAGTAACTACATGTTTTTGCTCTACTGACTTGTAAGAATCTTGTAAAAAAAAAAAAAAAAAAAGTGTCTGAACTTATCAGACATCTGGCTTTTTTCATCGGATCAGAAAAACATGTGGTGATGTAGCGCTCAGTCTGTGTCATTGGCCACCACCAACCACTCACACACACACACCAGACTCATTTTAATGTGGGGGAAGTGTCTTGCCTAACGACACAACCACAGTTTGGCACTTTACAGCCACAGTCGCCCCACTGTGGCACCTGCTGTTCCCAGAGGTCTCCCATCACAGTACTGACCAGGCCCTGCCCTGCTTAGCTTCAGAGGTCTGACGGGATCTGGCTGTCACCTGCAGGTATGGCCACTTTTACAATCACTTAAGGAGGGAAAAAGATCGAGGAGCAAACAGTTTTGAGAGCGCGGAACTCAGAACCTGGAACTGAGACTTTTCATTTTTTCTGACTTTCTACTTTTACTCAGTTCTTACTTTTGAAAGATATTTGTGTTTTCTACTTTGCACATTTTAAAACATTGATAACTTGAATCACGTTTGTCCAAAGTTACATGGATATTATCTGTATCTTCTGTTTGGTTTAGCCTTTTGGCCTAAAGGTCGTTCCCTTTTACTGTTGTCTGAACTGCTCTGTTGACCGTTTCTTTCAACAGTACACAGGGATTGTTCCTTAAATGATAGTTTAGCATTGACTTTAAGTGCGCTCGACAGGCTTTTAATGATTTTCTAATTTGGACTTTTTGATGTAATGAACCCTCATCAGACTGACACTGTTTATACAAAGCCACAGTTTGTGAAAGAAAATGGGAAAACGTCACAGACACAACACAAAACTAAAGATGCTTCTTTATGTCGCGTTCACTGAGCCACAGAAACGTAGGAAAAACTGCGGTTGACCAGGAGCAGGGGTCTCCAACCTGTGGCTCAGGAGCTACCAGCAGCTCCCCACTCTCTTTCAGGTAGCTTCCAGATGATTCAGGGATGTAACAAATGATCTCGAATGATTCTATTTTAAATATTAATCTTACTGTACGGTAGAATGGTTTATTATAAATGTGTGTTCTCCGTGGTTCGCTGAAGTTATCACAGAGACTATTATTATTATTATTGTTGTATCACGACAGCTAAAGGAGTAGCTCTCTGGCCTTTGTTTTATAAAAGAAGCTCTGTTAGAAAAAGGTTAGACTCGTGCTCTACAGTGATGCAACGTTTATGAACATTCATTTGTGACTCTAAAATAAACTATTAAATAACTTTATTATTATTATTTATTTTCATTTTCTTGTGAAAGTTTTAAAATGATGAAGTCTTCCAAATCACGTGCACGCAATCACTGCAGGAAATGATGCAATAGTTGAATCATTTCCTGCAGTGATTTTATCAGAATCGGATTCATTTTTATTTCCATGAAAGTCACAGGAACTTACTTTGGCTTCTTCTTTGAGGTAAATAAATGAATGTAGTTTTAGTTTTAGTTTGTTGTTTGCATTTGACCCGTTCCTTGAAGCCGCCGTCAGCATCAGTTGCTGATGCTCGGGTTTGTCAGGACCAGACCTGGAGGATCTTTGACTTTTTATGTTTTTCTTTAAGTGGTCGGGGAAACTGGAGCACCTGGAGGAAACCTACGCTGACACAGGGAGAACATGCAAACTTCACTCTGAAGGCCCTGTTCCGACCCGGAGAGTGCTAACCACTCAGCCACTGTGTCGCTCATGTTTATTCTTGTATAAATAAACCAACGTCTTGTCGTCGTTTAAATACAGTTTATTTGCATTGAGTCCAAAGATCAGAAGAAACTTCCTCAAAGAAACAAACGACCACAGGCACTGCCCAGGACCCAAAACCCAAGACCCAGGACCCAGGACCCAGGATCCAGGATCCAGGACCCAGGACCCAGGACCCAGGTCTCACACAAGGACTCAGACCTCAGGGCCCTGGTCTCACACAGGGACTCAGGACTCAGGGCCCTGGTCTCACACAGGGACTCAGGACTCAGGGCCCTGGTCTCACACAGGGACTCAGGACTCAGGGCCCTGGTCTCACACAGGGACTCAGGACTCAGGGCCCTGGTCTCACACAGGGACTCAGGACTCAGGGCCCTGGTCTCACACAGGGACTCAGGACTCAGGGCCCTGGTCTCACACAGGGACTCAGGACTCAGGGCCCTGGTCTCACACAGGGACTCAGGACTCAGGGCCCTGGTCTCACACAGGGACTCAGGACTCAGGGCCCTGGTCTCACACAGGGACTCAGGACTCAGGGCCCTGGTCTCACACAGGGACTCAGACCTCAGGGCCCTGGTCTCACACAGGGGGACTCAGGACTCAGGACCCTGGTCTCACACAGGGACTCAGGACTCAGGACCCTGGTCTCACACAGGGACTCAGGACTCAGGGCCCTGGTCTCACACAGGGACTCAGGACTCAGGACCCTGGTCTCACACAGGGACTCAGGACTCAGGACCCTGGTCTCACACAGGGACTCAGGACTCAGGACCCTGGTCTCACACAGGGACTCAGGACTCAGGGCCCTGGTCTCACACAGGGACTCAGGACTCAGGGCCCTGGTCTCACACAGGGACTCAGGACTCAGGGCCCTGGTCTCACACAGGGACTCAGGACTCAGGGCCCTGGTCTCACACAGGGACTCAGGACTCAGGGCCCTGGTCTCACACAGGGACTCAGGACTCAGGGCCCTGGTCTCACACAGGGACTCAGACCTCAGGGCCCTGGTCTCACACAGGGACTCAGGACTCAGGACCCTGGTCTCACACAGGGACTCAGGACTCAGGCCCTGGTCTCACACAGGGACTCAGGACTCAGGACCCTGGTCTCACACAGGGACTCAGGACTCAGGACCCTGGTCTCACACAGGGACTCAGGACTCAGGGCCCTGGTCTCACACAGGGACTCAGGACTCAGGGCCCTGGTCTCACACAGGGACTCAGACCTCAGGGCCCTGGTCTCACACAGGGACTCAGGACTCAGGACCCTGGTCTCACACAGGGACTCAGGACTCAGGGCCCTGGTCTCACACAGGGACTCAGGACTCAGGACCCTGGTCTCACACAGGGACTCAGGACTCAGGACCCTGGTCTCACACAGGGACTCAGGACTCAGGGCCCTGGTCTCACACAGGGACTCAGGACTCAGGACCCTGGTCTCACACAGGGACTCAGGACTCAGGACCCTGGTCTCACACAGGGACTCAGGACTCAGGGCCCTGGTCTCACACAGGGACTCGGGGCCCCGGTCTCACAAAGGGACTTGGGGCCCCGGTCTCACACAGGGACTCGGGGCCCCGGTCTCACAAAGGGACTCGGGGCCCTGGTCTCACACAGGGACTTGGGGCCCTGGTCTCACACAGGGACTCAGGACCAGGCGACACACACCAACACTGACGTCACAAACACACAACACGTTCTTCTATCGCGGCACTAAAGTCCGACAAAGACAAAACAATCAGGAATTAAAAGAATGCATAAAAAGTGCTTAGAACAAGGTGTGCTCCGACCTCTGACGTCAGGTCCGTTATGAAAACCCGCCTCGGGCTTTTCCATGAGACCATGTGCTTCTCTGCTCTTCTCCTTTTCAACGGGATCCAGTTATTTGTACATTTTTCTTAAAGGACAAAACATTTGGAAATCCATCTTTTAGCCGCATTCCTTTATGTCAAACAGTCAAAGTATGCAGCCCTGGCACAATGTGAGAGATAAGGGACTTCTAAAATAAAGAACAGTATTAAAAAGATGTCAGAAAAATGTAAACCTTTGCGAGAAGCCAGGTATAGAAAGTGCCCTGGGATTCAGCAGCTCTTGTAGCAATCCTGACGTAGTACTGTAGTTTATTGTATTTTCTTCGGCCAATATGTACAGAAGATCTCAGGTCACTGTTTTTCAAAGATCATACATTTTACAATAAGAAAAAAAACTAAAAAGTGTCAATTCAGAATTTTAGTGCAAAATAATTCTGGACCGAAAGGTTTAGGCTGAAGTTTCTGCCTCACTCTTTCACAATGTGACGTCCAAAAATAATATTATACAGTTTCTCACATACCAACGGTGGTAACATGGAGCTCAAAACTTAAACTTCGACCTGGGTTATAATGTTGAATCTCGAATAAAAAATAAATATTAATTGGATGCATTAAATTAGGACAGAATTTGACTTGTGAGAAGTAGAATAACCTTGAACTACACTGCAAAAAATGATAAATTATGAGGTCACAAATGCCTAAATCAAGTGGTTTAATTTGAGATAAATGTGTCTTAAAACTTGATTCTCCAACGGGACAAGCACATATAGTCCGATTTCAAGAACTGTTTTTTATCATTCTTTCTAAAACAAGATGATTTTGTTAGTCCAATTGGCAAATCTTGTTTTAAAGGCACTCAGAATGTGCTAAAACTAATTTAGAGCAATTTGTCCCTTTTTGCAGTGTACGTGTTTATAATTCCAGATGAACACTGTCAAAGTGAGATTACAGGAACCATTAATGACAGGAGGATTGTTGTGTGTTGTTAAATAGAGTTTGAAATTGTCCAGTTCATTTCATTCCTTGTGTCAAAAGCATTTCACTCTTGCATGATTTCTTCAGCACGGCCTCTCGTCTTTCCATAACCACCACCGCTAACATTTTCTGGAGGAGATTATCATTTAGACCAATGGGGAGAGAGCTTGTGTGTCAATCATGCATTTGGATTTACTTGATCCCAATCAGGAATGTTCTCCCTCTTTACAATAAGTTATTTGTGGGTTAATCTCATGGAAGAGCCCTGTTTACAATCAAAAGAATAACACCCCGTTAAAAAACTAAAGAGTTCAAATTCCCAGGTCTGTCCCAGGACTCACAAAAAGAGAGAGTTTGAGTATCTTTCTGCCGGTGTAAAAGTCTGCCTTGGGTGGGGGTTTGGACGGGCCTCAGACGGGCCTCAGATGGGGTTGTGCTGGTTGTACGCAGAAGCAGAAGGACACAGAGAAAAGGACCTCTCTGTGGTGAGGCTGTGCAGCGCCCGCAGAACCACGTCTGGCATGTGGTCGCTCAGCATCCGCGGGCTGATGAGGATGCTGCGGAATGCCATCTCGCTGGACCAGTCTGCTCGGTACCGCACCCGGGAGAAGCAGGACCTGCGGCGACACACAAGTATGCAGTACATGTGACAAAAGATCTATTACATTTATGTTTGTATAGTGGTAAGTCACAACAGCAGTTCTCTGGGAGGACTTTACAAAACTGTGGAATTGGCAAAAACAGATGAAGGAATCAAACAGTTCAAACACAGGAAGTGCAATAACAGCTGTTGGTCCATAGGGGGCAGACGACCAATGTCCAAAAAATGTCTTTGTCCATTTCTGAGTTGATAATCAGCTGCACCCAGTCCACAGAGCCCCAGCCCCTCACTGATCATCCTGCAGCTGGAGAGTCCACAGGAGTGATGACAAGGGCTTCAGGCAAAGTGGGGTTAAGTGTCTTGCCCAAGGACACAACGACAGCAGACATCAGCAGGAGTCAATTCAAATCCATCAAAAACACTTATTTTTTTAATTTGGTGGCGAAGGTCTTGGAGTGAGCTCGAACCCATGACCTTCAGGCTCAATAGCTCCATAAATACTGATAAATGTGGTTGAATGTGGATGAATGTGGAGAGTCCTGGATCATCTCTGTCCTTAGAGCCTCCTGCTTCAGAGAAGAACAACTAAAACTCAGAGGGAGAAAGATGAGCAATAATGTTCCACTTTTTAGACTAACTGATCTGGCCTGATCTGGTCTGGTCTGGTCTGGCCTTGTCTGGCCTTGTCTGGTCTGGTCTGGCCTAGTCTCCCTTTCATGTCCTGTTTGCTGTAAAACTGACTCATGGATACGCTTGTTTTAGTAATGTTTAGATTGTGGCTGATTCTGGTCCAATACAAACACTAAATAAAAATGAAAATGTCTGATTGTGATCCAGAGTCTTCCTGAAGCAGAACTGAGGATAATAGAAAGTGGTGAAACTATAAACATCATGTGGTGTCAGCAGGAGACGCTCCGTGTGACTCCTGCTGTTTCAGGCCATTATACAACCATCCAGAGTCCAGACGAGTCCAGACGAGTCCAGTTCTGCCGCGGCTGAAAGAATCTGCTCCAACAGGACGTTTACTAACTGTACAAATATCATCAAACATTTACATTTATGACATCACCGTACCCCCCCTTGGACTGCCACCTTAACGTGGTGGGGGAGTTTGAGCACTCGGATGATCCTGGGAGCTATGCTGTCTGGGGCTTCATGCCCCTGGTAGGGTCTCCCCATGGCAGACAGGTCTCAGGTGACGAGTCAGACGAAGCGCAGTCCGAAGCCAACCATGGACAGCACGACAATGAGAACCGTGACGTCGCCCGGCATGGCGCAGCCGGGGCCCAACCCTGGAGCCAGGCCTGGGGTCGGGGCTCGCAAGCGAGCGCCTGGTGGCCGGGCTCAGCCCGAAGGGATGACGTGGGCAGTCCCTCCTGTGGGCCCACCACCTGCAGAGGGGTCCGTGGTGGCGAGGTGCAGAGAGGACTGGGCAGCAGTCGAAGGCGGAGACCTCGACGACCCAGTCCACACACCCAACATCTGGCTCTTGGGACGTGGAACGTCACCTCACTGGGGGGGAAGGAGCCCGAGCTTGTGGGGGAGGTTGAGCGATACCGACTAGAGATCGTCGGCCTCACCTCCACACACAGCTTGGGCTCTGGAACCCAACTCCTTGAGAGGGGTTGGACGCTCCACTTTTCTGGTGTTTCCCGCGGGGAGAGGCGGCGAGCTGGGGTGGCCATACTCATTGCCCCCCATCTCAGCCGCCACGTGTTGGAGTTCTCCCCGGTGAATGAGAGGGTCGCGTCCCTCCGCCTCCGGGTGGGGGACAAGTCTCTCACTGTTGTTGCAGGGTGCTCGGCCTTCTTGGAGTCCTTGGGAGGGGTACTGGACAGTGCACCGCCCGGGGACTCCGTTATTCTCCTGGGGGACTTCAACGCCCATGTGGGAAATGCCAGTGACACGTGGAGAGGGTTGATCGTGAAGAACGGCCCCCCTGATCTGAACCCGAGCGGTGTTCAGTTGTTGGACTTCTGTGCCAGTCACGGTCTGTCCATCACGAACACCATGTTCGAGCACGTGCACGTGGCACCAGGACACCCTAGGCCGGAGGTCGATGATCGACTTTGTTGTCGTATCATCTGACCTTCGACCGCGTGTCTCGGACACTCGGGTGAAAAGAGGGGCGGAGCTGTCAACCGATCATCACCTGGTCGTGAGTTGGATCCGCTGGCAGGGCAGGAGGCCGGTCAGACCTGGCAGGCCCAAGCGTGTAGTGAGGGTTTGCTGGGAACGTCAGACGGACTTTCAACTCACACCTCCGGGAGAGCTTCTCCCAGGTCCCGGCAGAGGAGGGGGACATCGAGTCCGAGTGGACCATGTTCTCTTCCTCTATCGCCAATGCGGCGGCTCGTAGCTGTGGTCGCAAGGTCTCTGGTGCTGGTCCCGGCGGCAATCCCCGAACCCGGTGGTGGACTCCTGAGGCAGCTGTCCAGTACCGGCAGGCCAAACGTGCCGCGGCCCGGGCTGTTGCAGAGGCAAAAACCCGGGACTGGGAGGAGTTCGGAGAGTCCATGGAGCATGACTATCGGTCGGCCTCGAAGAGGTTCTGGCAAACCGTCCGGCGCCTCAGGAGGGGGAAGCAGTTCTTTGCCAACACCGTGTACGGTGCGGGGGGTGAGCTGCTGACCTCGACTGGGGATATTGTCGGGCGGTGGAAGGAATACTTCGAGGTTCTCCTCAATCCCCCCGTCACGTCCTCCGTCCAGGAGGCAGAGGCTGAGGATGTTGGGGCGGATACTTCCATCTCCCTGGCCGAGGTCACCAAGGTGGTCGGCAGCCTCCATGGTGGCAGGGCGCCGGGAGTGGATGAGATCCGTCCTGACTATCTTAAGTCTCTGGATGTTGTAGGACTGTCTTGGTTAACACGTCTCTGCAGCATCGCGTCGCGATCGGGGGCGGTACCAATGGAGTGGCAGACCGGGGTGGTGGTCCCTCTCTACAAGAAGGGGGACCGGAGGGTGTGTTCCAATTATCGTGGGATCACACTCCTCAGCCTCCCCGGTAAGGTCTACTCCAAGGTACTGGAGAGGAGGCTACGTCCGATGGTCGAATCTCGGATTCAGGAGGAGCAGTGTGGTTTTCGTCCCGGTCGCGGAACACTGGACCAGCTCGACCGTGTTCCCCGGGGTGTCCTTTGGGGGGTCCTCCGGGAGTACGGGGTCCGGGGTCCTCTGCTGAGGGCCGTCCGATCCCTGTATGACCGGAGTCAGAGCTGTGTTCGCATTGCCGGCAGTAAGTCAGACCTGTTCCCGGTGCATGTTGGCCTCCGCCAAGGCTCCCCTTTGTCACCGTTCTGTTCACTGTATTTATGGACAGAATATCTAGGCGCAGCCAGGGGTCGGAGGGGGTCCGGTTCGGGAACCACAGGATTTCATCTCTACTTTTTGCGGATGATGTTGTCCTGTTGGCTCCAACGAACCAGGACCTGCAGCATGCACTGGGACGGTTTGCAGCCGAGTGCGAAGCGGCTGGGATGAGAATCAGCACCTCCAAATCTGAGGCCATGGTGCTCGACCGGAAAAAGGTGCCTTGCCCTCTACAGGTGGGTGGAGAGGTCCTTCCTCAAGTGGAGGAGTTCAAGTATCTCGGGGTCTTGTTCACGAGTGAGGGGAGGATGGAGCGTGAGATTGACAGGCGGATCGGTGCAGCGTGCGCAGTGATGCGGTCGCTGTATCGGACCGTTGTGGTAAAGAGGGAGCTGAGCCAAAAGGCAAAGCTCTTGATTTACCGGTCAATCTTCGTTCCCTCCCTCACCTATGGTCATGAGCTTTGGGTAATGACCGAAAGAACAAGATCGCGGATACAAGCGGTCAAAATGAGCTTCCTCCGCAGAGTGGCTGGGCGCTCCCTTAGAGATAGGGTGAGGAGCTCGGTCACACGGGAGGAGCTCGGAGTAGAGCCGCTGCTTCTCCACGTCGAGAGGAACCAGTTGAGGTGGCTCGGGCATCTGTTCCGGATGTCTCCTGGACGCCTTCCTGGGGAGGTGTTCCGGGCACGTCCCACCGGGAGGAGGCCCCGGGGAAGACCCAGGACACGCTGGAGAGACTATGTCTCTCAGCTGGCCTGGGAACGCCTTGGGGTCCCCCCGGAAGAGCTGGAGGAGGTGTGTGTGGATAGGGAAGTCTGGGAGTCTCTGCTTAGACTGCTGCCTCCGCGACCCGGCAACGGATAAAGCGGAAGAAAATGGATGGATGGATGGATGGATGGACATCACCGTACTCAAGACGATAGATGACGTAAACGTTTGTACAAGTGATCATCATTAAACACATGCATGAGGTCACAGGGACATGATGTCACAGGGACATGATGTCACAGGTACATGATGTCACAGGTACATGAGGTCACAGGGACATGATGTCACGGGTACATGAGGTCACGGGTACATGAGGTCACGGGTACATGATGTCACAGGGACATGATGTCACGGGTACATGAGGTCACGGGTACATGATGTCACAGGTACATGATGTCACAGGTACATGAGGTCACAGGTACATGATGTCACAGGTACATGATGTCACAGGGACATGATGTCACAGGTACATGATGTCACAGGTACATGATGTCACAGGTACATGATGTCACAGGTACATGATGTCACAGGTGCAGTAGCCAATCAGCTGTCAGCTCACTGTGTGCTGCAGTTTAAATCTGATCCACATGCATGATCCTGATCCTGGACCTGATCTTGGACCTGGACCTGATCCTGGAACTGACCCTGGACCTTGGACCTACCTCCGTGTGGGGCCGTCCTCTGTGACGTGCAGCACTCGCCCCGGCAGGAACAGGGGCAGGTGTGTGGCCGTGTGGGCGGGAGAGTCGTCGGACGCCAGGCTCTGATAGGACGAGGACTGGCGGATCAGAGACTCCTCCCCCAGCAGCGGTCGGCTCAGCTCCGCCTCCCGACGGTTCTCCATCTCTGTGGGAAAGTCGTCCGGGTCTCCTCCAAACAGCTCATACCAGCAGCCACGCAGCAGGATGGAATACTGCAGCACAGGGACGAGAGAGAGAGTTATACTGCAGCACAGGGACGAGAGGGAGAGTTATACTGCAGCACAGGGACGAGAGGGAGAGTTATACTGCAGCACAGGGACGAGAGGGAGAGTTATACTGCAGCACAGGGACGAGAGGGAGAGTTATACAGCAGCACAGGGACGAGAGGGAGAGTTATACTGCAGCACAGGGACGAGAGGGAGAGTTATACTGCAGCACAGGGACGAGAGGGAGAGTTATACTGCAGCACAGGGACGAGAGGGAGAGTTATACAGCAGCACAGGGACGAGAGGGAGAGTTATACTGCAGCACAGGGACGAGAGGGAGAGTTATACTGCAGCACAGGGACGAGAGGGAGAGTTATACTGCAGCACAGGGTCGAGAGGGAGAGTTATACTGCAGCACAGGGTCGAGAGGGAGAGTTATACTGCAGCACAGGGTCGAGAGGGAGAGTTATACTGCAGCACAGAGACGAGAGGGAGAGTTATACTGCAGCACAGGGTCGAGAGGGAGAGTTATACTGCAGCACAGGGTCGAGAGGGAGAGTTATACTGCAGCACAGGGTCGAGAGGGAGAGTTATACTGCAGCACAGGGTCGAGAGGGAGAGTTATACTGCAGCACAGGGACGAGAGGGAGAGTTATACAGCAGTGGGTTCTGTACAAGCTCTGATCCTGTGGTTCTGTTTGGTCTGTTTGAAAAGTTGGGTCTGTGGATTTTTAAAGTTTACCGAAACTGCCGCCATTTTGTTCGGGCGCAGATCGGGCTCGGTCACATGACGCTCTCCACAGCAGCAGAGGCCACATGTGATCAGCAGAGAGTTTATCCTCTGGATGAGGGAAAGTTTAAATGTGAAAAATGGCTCACAGGAAGTCCCTACAGACACATGTGCCCTCTCCTTCTGTGCGACTGCTCCTTTATCAAACTCGTTACTGTAAGAATCAGAACCTCATGGACTCACTGTGGGAAAGTTCAGGTCAAATGACTTTAACAATGTTCCTTCTCTTACACCTCTGACCCACGTGAGGATTATTCCAGAAGCAGTTTAATTTCATTTCTGACTTCACTCCGTCACGTGTCCGACTGTAGCAGAAGCACAAATGTGACGTCGCTCCAAAGGCCACGGCGACCGTAAACAAAGCCGTAAACGATGAGGAATGTGCATGTTTTTGTTCTTTATAGAATTAACAACACAGGCTTTGTTTGAAATGTCACAGTGTGAGGAGAGAGGTGTTAGCGCCACCTGCTGTGCGGCTACATGTCGACAACACCAGCATTCACAGCTAACACCTGCTCCCAGTCATTTCAGGACTTTCCATTTTGACTTTGTATAAATTAGACAATAAAAACGTTGTACGTCTAAACAAATTATCTATACTATAATTTTAAAAGGACGCCCTGAAGGAAAAGGTGCAGGGGTGATGTGTGAGCAGGTGGGGTCAGAGAGTGTTAGGGCCTGTGTCTTATCAGAGTGTTGAGTTTGCTTTGTCCATGTCTGTTTATTTTGTCTTTTTTTTTATATTTTATTCCACAATACACATGTTTGGATGTGAAATGACAAACTACTACTAATATGCACGGTTAATTATATTTTTTTAATTTTCCTTTAAACATGAAGAACCATTTGCTTTAAAAACAAATGATGTACTTCTCCTCTCCCCACAGATCAGGGCGACACAAACCTTTCCACATGAACACACACCAGCGGCTCAGGACCAAACCCATTTGCGTTTTGCATAAAAGGTTTGTTCTTAAATCCAGCAATAAATTCATTAAATTATTTAGCGTTTTCTAAACTTTGATCTTCTGTTCAGTCCTTACAAAATGTAATAATGTATTGATTATATACAGCACTGTCTTGGACACTGAAAGTCTCTTCTCTTCACATAATTATTCATTCTCTCCAAACACAGAGGTGATAAACGTCGACAGTAGCCACAGCTGTCTTGGGGCACACTGACAGAAGCGAAGCAACCAGTCTGAGCCATTGGCCCCCTCCCTAACCAGACCCTGCCTTGCTTATCTTCAGAGATCTGACAGGACCTGGCTTTGACCTGCAGGTGGCGCCACATGTATCAGATCCTCTGGGCAAGACCAAGCCCCGGTGATCCAAGATGGCGCCCTATTCAAATAATTGGCTTGTGCTCAGTAGTTCATGGGACTTCACGGAGACCGGGAGATTAGCAGAACTCGCCCATATTTGGGCATCGTCTGGTCCTCCTGGTTCTGTGCAGTGGACGAGCTTCCATGATGCTTTGCGCCAAATACGCGTGTGTGGCTCTCATGCACGTGCACAAAGGGGCTCGGCCGCGCTCTAACCAATCAGAGCTGATCAGAGCAGCAGCAGAGCGGAGCCAGAGCGGGAAGGAAAGGAGCAGAGTTTGTGGCAGTAAAGTGTGGATTTAAAGAAAACCGAAGGATTTAAGAAGATAAAAAGTTCAGGATGAGAAGGGACACTAACATCCCCACAAAATCCGACCTTTATGAAAGCTGTAGGTTCTCTGTCAGGTTCTCTGTCAGGTTCTCTGTCAGGTTCTCTGTCAGGTTCTCTGTAGGTTCTCTGTCAGGTTCTCTGTAGGTTCTCTGTCAGGTTCTCTGTCAGGTTCTCTGTCAGGTTCTCTGTCAGGTTCTCTGTCAGGTTCTCTGTAGGTTCTCTGTCAGGTTCTCTGTCAGGTTCTCTGTCAGGTTCTCTGTCAGGGACTCTGTCAGGTTCTCTGTCAGGTTCTCTGTCAGGTGAGGTCGAGCCGTTTTAATTTACATTGAGTTCTATGGGACTTTTTTCCGGGTAGCACTCGTGAATTTATTCTGCAGTACCACAGCGCCCCCTGTGGCCGTGGGTGGGACCGCTGTAAGCTAGTAATACACTATCCAGTTATTATTATAGATCCATGGGCACCACTGACACAACAACAGTTTTCCATCTCACGATAAAGGCTTTCTTTGACTAAGGAACAGACGAAAACAAAATAAAACACAAGAAGAAAACTCTTACCTTTGGCTTGTTGCAGTTTGACACTATTTTAAGAATTCTCCTCTTCAAATCCTCCATGTTTGGAAGGCTGAGTCTGCGGAGAAAGTGTATTTAAATAAACAACAGAAGCAAAGAGAGGCCTTAGAGCGTAGGGCCTATAATTACAGATCCACAAATAGACCCGCCTCAGACCATGTGACGTTAGCCTAGCATAGCATGAGGAGAGTCAACGTTTGAAGGAAGAAGAATGGTTTTACCCATGGTTTTACCCATGGTTTTACCCATGGTTTTTACCTATGGTTTTACCTGGGAACGAGGTCTTTCCCCACGACCACAGAGACCACAAAGTCCTTGGTGTAATCGGCCAAAGCTTTACTGCAGAGAAAACAGAAAGACAATGACACAAAGCTTCTGTGCTTTTATGCTAAAGTTAGAAATTTATATTAACTTCTTTATTATGCTAAAGATATAGATTTTATGCTAGCTTCTTTATTATGCAAACGTTGAATGCCGAGTCGTTTTGTACACAGTGAGCTCAGTCTGCAGGGGTTTGATCGGAATTCTCGTATCTTTGCTAATGTTTTCCATATGGAACAGACGGACTGTGAAAGCTTTACCTCACTAGTCCCCCTGGTGGTGAGAAGGAGTAACATTTTAAGGTGGGGTAGGAATTCTTTAGCATGACGGCCAGGAGAGCCGCTGTGCCGCCGCCCAGGCTGTGTCCGGTGATCACCAGTTTATACTCCTGCAGACCCACGACACAACACAGTCAGAACAGTCACATCCTTAAACTGCAGGGGGCGCTGTGGGGTCTCACCGGGGCGATGGAGAAGGCCTGGCTGAGGATGCCATCGTTGACCAGCTTCTTATAGATATAACCTGCTGCTTGGCACATTCCCTGCAGGTAAATAAAAAACACAATCATGTATTTTACCAAAAACATTGAGTCCTGAATGAGTAAGACATAATAGAAAAGTAGTAATTCACAGTAAACTTTATTAAACCCAGTCAACAACACAAAGCCTCGTCCAGTTTTGTTCCAATCCCAGAAACTGGACTCATTTTGTTCATGGAAATATATAAACTCATATTCAATAAATGTAAATATTGGTTTAAAACTTCATGATAAAAAGTCACAATTAAAAACAATGGACTATAAAACTTTCCAAAACTTTCTTGATTCTTAGTTTTGTCTCTGTTTTGAGGCCAAACCTTTACTTTCTCTGTTAATGTACATAACAGCAGTATATAACAACATTTATCCAGGCGCTAAACTGCACACGCTATCTCACTTTGCACACGCAGTTTTACAAGTTTGATTCCATCTCTGCGTGTGCATAGATCTGTTTGCTCCGGTTTTCATTAGTTTATCCTGCACCATGAGCCTGTGATAAAAGTTTGATGATGGTGATACATTTTGCACACACACAAACGCACGATAAACATTGCCCTAAACTCATTGACTGCCATAGCGAACTATCTGAATGACGTCACTAAGACACGCCCCCGCCGCCTGTCAACTCCCGCCCACATGTTTCGGACAAACACTGCCGAAATGAATCAAATACTACTGGTCACTTTAGACGAAAATGATAAACCAGGGGCAAAATTCCACCATCAAACCATCAGGGATCATAGTGTAGACCAATTAAAACGTTGGCTTGAATGTCGTGGTCTTCCAGTAACTGGTAGAAAGTTTGATTTGATAAAAAGGTAATGGTGAGGATTATGCTAACATTATCTAGTCATTTAAATTGCAATGTTAGCGCCTTCTTTGTTTATTTTGCTCTGATTAACTTCCATTTATCAAGTTGTTTTTTGTACTGTCCATTTCGTAATTAGTTTGATCATTTAGTTAACTACTGTCAGCTGATATTATAATAGATCCATGGGGTCACAACGGGCTACGCCACTACTGTCTCTGAGAGAAACTATCAGAGCCACACTCAGTAAACACAAACGACAATCAATCAACATATTTAAATGTTAATGCTAGAATATATTATTCATACAACACACGTGCACAGAGGTTTTCAGAATTATCTGTTAAGGTTTTCATGACAAAAATACTTTTTTAATGCGACTAAAGCGATCGCTTTTTTAAAGTAGGTGAACTAAAACCTTTGGGAACTATTTTCTTTGCACTCATTAAATAAACCTTTTGGCATGAATAGTGACAGAAGTTTATTTTGTGTGTTCAGTTGGTACAAAGCCGTATAATAAGCGGACCCCGACGCGCTTCGTCTGTGCTTATTTTCCGATAGTCACGAAGTTGAAAAAATCCCTCTCATCTTTCTTCAGGTGTGAGAATTGTATACATTCTGGATTAGGACAAACAATACTAATTTGGATTGATGGGGCTAACTACATTCAGAAGAGCTCAGACGGACCTGATACAGCGGTCCAGGTCCAGTCCCAGCTAAACGTAGCTAGGACTGGATCTGGAGGCTCCACAGTTGGTCCAGCGAAGTGTTTTGAAAAAACATGTCCTTTTTAACATTTTCATGAGAGAAATTCTGCTGACCACAAGCACCCACCTCTTGCACTTGTCCTGGTCTGGTTCGATGTTGTGGTTTAACGAACAGGTTGAATGTTACTTTCATATAGTCCTTTTCAGAGTATCTGAAATCGCTCCCACAAGCACCATAACTGCAGTGTTTTGTTGTCACCATGATTCAATGATTTAGCCCAAATAAATACACACGCTTATGTGGAGAACACAGTAGTACTCAACGGAGTCGGACAGAGTTTGTCCGAAACATGCGCGCATGCGCAGTCATTGGAACTATTTTTAGCACATTTCGGAAACCGGACAGTGCCCTATTGACGCATTTGTCTGAGATTGGTGATTTCTGTCAAACTTCCCTCTATTCGACTGGGGATTACAGGAGAACTAAACTAGCTAGAAACAAACTTATTTTTGCTGATGGAAGCAGACAGTCCAGTCTTTCAGAATCTGGTTTCACATTTCACCTAGTCAAAGCACACAATATTCTGTGGGTCTTGAAAGTCAGTGAAATCATCAAAAACGGCTGGGAGTCAATGAGTTAATGCGGCCCAACTTCCCCCAGACTTCACCTCATGCGGCCCACATTGAGTTTCAGTCCCAGCTTTAAGTCTTCATTTAACAAATTGTGTGTGTTCTGACTTTGTGTCCATTTGAAGAGTTAGCAGCAGACATGGATTTACCTCTAACCAACTTTATCTCAATAATCATACAGATGTTTACCTTGTGAGCGTAGCAGGCTCCGCTGACGCCCTCTAGTGGCAGGTTTTCACACTCCGCAGACAGGTCGGTCAGAACATCCTGGACCAGAGGAGAGAGAAAGCTTCGATTAGCAAAGAAGTGAGTAAAAACCTTTATATTAACCAAGTCTAGGTTTAGAATGTTCTGGAAACTGCAGCGAGTCCGAAGTGTCTCTGAAACAGTGGTTGTTTTGTGTTTTATGATCTACATTTTTTTTGCTTTTTTCTCTCTGTAAATGTTACGGCAGTACAGTGTTCATGGTTTTACACTGATCCAGACCAACCAACCAGATTAAGCAGAAATCCATAACAATTTAGAGAGGGTCGTCTTGGTGTGAAACTCTGCAACTGCAAAGATTAATATCGTTTTCTGATTTGGCCTCTGCTTTGTGAACAACTCTTTTCTCCCACAGCTCAAACCAATTTCACTTCTCCTTTAGATCTTTAGATGGGTCACCGTGTCACCAGCTGGACTCAGGCTGCACTTCCTCTTTTAAAAGCACACATCTGCACATACACAGCCTGGCCTTATCCATCCGTACACTCCGCTCAATTATCACTTCCCTGCATGTACGTCTGGGTCTGGTCCCTGTGTCTGCAACTAGATCTGTTGAATTCCATCCAACCAATCAGCGAGCGTGGGAGGCGGGTGTTGTAGTTAGATGTAATCGCTGCAAAGATTGTGGCACTACTCCCCACGGGCTCCGTTAGCGGCCAAGGAGATGGCTAAAGCTAGGCTAAATGCTAACGACTCACTCAGGTGCATTACATTCGTCACGGTAAACTCAGATCCAATCGTTTCAATCTGCAAAAGGAGTTGACCCCTCCCACCTGTTAACGGAGATCAATGGAGCAAATCCAGACTGTAGTAGGAAATGAAAAGAGTACGATGGTGTGGTACGACCAGATTAGCAAAAACAGGACCAACAAGAGAAAACGCACACCTTCAGGGACAGCGTGCCACGGACGGCCACCAACACGGCCTCTCGCTTGTGATCCAGAGCCACGAAGAAGGGGATCTCGTAAATCTGAGGAGTCAAAGTGTGGAGGTGATGCTAGTAAAACAGTCAGTGCAGAGGTGAGAGAGTGAGAGGGTGAGAGAGTGAGAGGTGAGAGGGTGAGAGAGTGAGAGAGTGAGAGAGTGAGAGGTGAGAGAGTGAGAGAGTGAGAGGGTGAGAGAGTGAGAGGGTGAGAGAGTGAGAGAGTGAGAGGGTGAGAGAGTGAGAGAGTGAGAGAGTGAGAGGTGAGAGAGTGAGAGAGTGAGAGGGTGAGAGAGTGAGAGGGTGAGAGAGTGAGAGGGTGAGAGGTGAGAGAGTGAGAGGGTGCAGAGGTGAGAGAGTGAGAGAGTGAGAGAGTGAGAGGTGAGAGAGTGAGAGAGTGAGAGAGTGAGAGGTGAGAGAGTGAGAGAGTGAGAGGGTGAGAGAGTGAGAGGGTGAGAGAGTGAGAGAGTGAGAGGGTGAGAGAGTGAGAGGGTGAGAGGTGAGAGTGTGAGAGAGTGAGAGGGTGCAGAGGTGAGAGAGTGAGAGAGTGAGAGGGTGCAGAGGTGAGAGAGTGAGAGGCTGAGAGGGTGCAGATGTGAGAGAGTGAGAGAGTGAGAGGGTGCAGAGGTGAGAGGGTGAGAGAGTGATAGGGTGCAGATGTGAGAGAGTGAGAGGGTGAGATAGTGATAGGGTGAGAGAGTGATAGGGTGCAGATGTGAGAGAGTGAGAGGGTGAGAGAGTGAGGAGGTGAGAGAGTGAGGGTGAGAGAGTGATAGGGTGAGAGAGTGAGAGAGTGAGATGGTGAGAGAGTGATAGGGTGAGAGAGTGAGATGGTGTGAGAGAGTGATAGGGTAAGAGCGAGTGAGAGAGTGAGAGGGTGAGAGAGGGTGAGAGAGTGATAGGGTGCATAGGTGAGAGAGTGAGAGGGTGCAGAGGTGAGAGAGTGAGAGGGTGCAGAGGTGAGAGGCTGAGAGGGTGCAGAGGTGAGAGAGTGAGAGGGTGAGAGGTGAGAGTGAGAGGGTGATAGGGTGCAGGGGTGAGAGAGAGAGAGTGAGAGGGTGAGAGAGTGATAGGGTGCAGATGTGAGAGGGTGAGAGAGTGCAGAGGTGAGAGAGTGATAGGGTGCAGATGTGAGAGAGTGAGAGGGTGAGATAGTGATAGGGTGAGAGAGTGATAGGGTGCAGATGTGAGAGAGTGAGAGGGTGAGAGAGTGAGGAGGTGAGAGAGTGAGGGTGAGAGAGTGATAGGGTGAGAGAGTGAGAGAGTGAGATGGTGAGAGAGTGATAGGGTGAGAGAGTGAGAGAGTGATAGGGTGAGAGAATGATAGGGTAAGAGCGAGTGAGAGAGTGAGAGGGTGAGAGGGTGAGATAGGGTGAGAGAGTGAGAGGGTAAGAGGGTGAGAGGGTGAGAGGATGAGAGGATGAGAGGGTGAGATAGTGAGAGAGTGAGAGGGTGAGAGAGTGAGAGGGTAAGACAGTGAGAGAGTGATAGGGTGAGAGAGTGATAGGGTGCAGATGTGAGAGAGTGAGAGGGTGCAGAGGTGAGAGAGTGAGAGAGTGAGGAGGTGAGAGAGTGAGAGCGAGAGAGTGATAGGGTGAGAGAGTGAGAGGGTGAGAGAGTGATAGGGTGAGAGAGTGATAGGGTGAGAGAGTGATAGGGTGAGAGCGAGTGAGAGAGTGAGAGGGTGAGAGAGGGTGAGAGAGTGAGAGAGTGAGAGGGTAAGAGGGTGAGAGGGTGAGAGAGTGATAGGGTGAGAGAGTGAGATGGTAAGAGGGTGAGAGGGTGAGACAGTGAGAGAGTGAGAGAGTGCAGAGGTGAGAGAGTGAGAGAGTGATAGGGTGCCAAGGTGAGAGAGTGAGAGGGCGAGAGAGTGAGAGGGTGCATATGTGAGAGAGTGAGAGAGTGATAGGGTGCAGAGGTGAGAGAGTGAGAGGGTGAGAGGGTGAGAGAGTGATATGGTGAGAGAGTGAGAGAGTGAGATGGTGAGAGAGTGAGAGGATGAGAGAGTGAGATGGTGAGAGAGTGAGATGGTGAGAGAGTGAGAGGATGAGAGAGTGAGATGGTGAGAGAGTGAGAGAGTGAGAGAGTGAGATGGTGCAGAGGTGAGAGAGTGAGAGGGTGCAGAGGTGAGAGAGTGAGATGGTGCGAGAGTGAGAGGGTGAGATGAGAGAGCGAGAGAGGGTGAGAGAGTGAGAGAGTGAGAGGGTGCAGAGGTGAGAGAGTGAGAGAGTGCAGAGGTGAGAGAGTGAGAGAGTGAGAAGGTGAGAGGGCGAGAGAGTGAGAGGGTGAGAGTGAGAAAGTGAGAGGATGAGAGGCTGAAGCTGGACCTGGTTGTGGAAGCTGACGTGGATGAAGTCTCTGTACTGTAGCCCGGTGCTGTGGAGGATGGAGGAGAAGTGGCAGCCAAGATGGTCGCCCCCCACCAGCTCGTACTCCGCCGAGCGACTTCGGCAACTGAAATATTACACACGGGATATAAAGTATTAGACTGAAACCTCCTTACTTAAAGCTGCGGAACCTAATGTTGTTTTTCATTAGTGGAAAAAAAAGATCTGGGAGGTTTACATGTTTGAGTTTTTTTAACAAATACCCCCAAAATGTATTTGTTTTAGAGGTATTTGTAGGTATCCAAGGCTTATGTGACTCTCTCACCAGTCTATTCTTGGGTTTCATCTGACGTCAGGGCTGTGGCGTGAATAACAAACGTGGGACAGGACGTGACGTATCCTGGAGGTGCAGTCTGCCGGGTTTATACACGGAGATATAGTAGAAGAAGAAGCGCTGTCAAAATGCCATCTTTTTGTGCGGTGTACGCTTGTAGCAACCGCACAAATAGAGAGAAAGACCAGAGTTTGTTCATGTTCCAACTGTGGTCTCATAAAAAGGAGGACACTTTGAAAACATCACTGGAATGAGGCGGAGGTGGATCAAGGCTTTCCCAGATAAGCGCCCCCTGCAGGCCACCCCAATGAAACGCAGCTATTTCTTCTGTTTTTTTTCCAAAAATGCCCAAAATCTCTCTGACTCTTTTGAGAAATATTTTTTAGTTCTCCTTTAGAATTGAGTGTCCCCGATAAAGACTGTTACAACAACCGTACACGGCACAGGAGGAGAGCCTCTGACTCCAAAACAGACTTTTCAATGTGAGCAAAACTGTCCCATCTCTGCTCATTCGGCGCCTACTGGCCAGTTTAATGAAACACAAGAATAGTGAGTCTGTGTCTCTCACCAGTCTATAGTGAGTCTGTGTCTCTCTCACCAGTCTATAGTGAGTCTGTGTCTCTCTCACCAGTCTATAGTGAGTCTGTGTCTCTCACCAGTCTATAGTGAGTCTGTGTCTCTCTCACCAGTCTATAGTGAGTCTGTGTCTCTCACCAGTCTATAGTGAGTCTGTGTCTCTCTCACCAGTCTATAGTGAGTCTGTGTCTCTCTCACCAGTCTATAGTGAGTCTGTGTCTCTCTCACCAGTCTATAGTGAGTCTGTGTCTCTCACCAGTCCTTTGTGAGTCTGTGTCTCTCACCAGTCCTTCGTGAGTCTGTGTCTCTCTCACCAGTCTATAGTGAGTCTGTGTCTCTCTCACAGTCCTTCATGAGTCTATGTCTCTCACCAGTCCTTCATGAGTCTGTGTCTCTCACCAGTCCTTCGTGAGTCTGTGTCTCTCTCACCAGTCTATAGTGAGTCTGTGTCTCTCTCACCAGTCCTTCGTGAGTCTGTGTCTCTCTCACCAGTCCTTCGTGAGTCTGTGTCTCTCTCACCAGTCTATAGTGAGTCTGTGTCTCTCTCACCAGTCTATAGTGAGTCTGTGTCTCTCTCACCAGTCTATAGTGAGTCTGTGTCTCTCTCACCAGTCCTTCGTGAGTCTGTGTCTCTCTCACCAGTCCTTCGTGAGTCTGTGTCTCTCTCACCAGTCCTTTGTGAGTCTGTGTCTCTCTCACCAGTCCTTCGTGAGTCTGCATGGCCCGGTCAGAGGATTGGAGTACACAAACATGGGCCACCCGTACGCGGCTGCAGCAAATCGCATACAGTGAGCCGCCTTCTCCAGCTCCGTCTCCAGGTCCTCGCCCTGAAGAACCACAGAGCAGAGATCCTGGTGAGGAGGGGGAGGGAGGGGGGAGGGTAGGGGTGAGAGCACTGACCAGGGGGGAGGAGGGGCTGTGGGCCAGGACGCTGTCGGGGTCTCGACTCTGCTCCTTCTTGTCCTGCTCCTGGTGCAGAAGAGCCAAACCGGCCGCGATGTCGCTGGCAACCAGGTCTGTGTCCTGGAGAGAGAAAACCATGGATTCACAGCTTTTAGAGCAGGCATGTCCAGAGACAGCCTGGGGTCCTCGGATGAAGTGTCCTAAACTACAATACAATGGCCTTTTGTGAACTCAAGTTTAGAGGCAGCCCAAAATCATCCACTTATGCTGCAAATACACAATAAGAGAGCCTTCATTTGTCCCACAGCGGGGATATTTCAGTGTTGCAATACACAGTCCAAGAGAGGAGTAAAATCAGTAGGAACCAGGAACCACATTAGTCCAGTCCTCAGGTCTCTGCACCTGTGGCTCCGAGAAAAAATCTTTAAAGTAGCTCCGTTTGTTACAAGTCTCTATATGGCCTCAAAGTACATCTGTGAAATGTTGGTACCATATGAACCAACTCTGAGAGGAGCACAGGGACTGGCCTCCTGCTGGGACTCTGAGGAGCACAGGGACTGGCCTCCTGCTGGGACTCTGAGGAACACAGGGACTGGCCTCCTGCTGGGACTCTGAGAAGCACAGGGACTGGCCTCCTGCTGGGACTCTGAGGAGCACAGGGACTGGCCTCCTGCTGGGACTCTGAGGAGCACAGGGACTGGCCTCCTGCTGGGACTCTGAGGAGCACAGGGACTGGCCTCCTGCTGGGACTCTGAGGAACACAGGGACTGGCCTCCTGCTGGGACTCTGAGAAGCACAGGGACTGGCCTCCTACTGGGACTCTGGACTAAACATGGGGAGGCTGCATTTCAAATTCATGCAGCTAAAATATGGATATATATTCCTGAAAATGTGAGACAGGCTTCTTCTTTGACAATGTTCAAATCCAAGTTAAAAACATTCTGCGTGTGCGTGTGTGCGTGTGCGTGTGTGTGTGCGTGCTTGCGTGTGTGTATGTGTGTGTGTGTGTGTGTGTGCGTCCCTTACAGAGAAGAACCCGCTGACGAGCTGTGCGATGCTGGAGAAGGCGGCGCGGTGGCTGTCGTCCTGGGGCAGGCAGCAGCAGAGCAGTTTGAGGCGGCTCTCCCAGACCTTCACGGCCAGAGAGCGAGCCGTGGACAGGAACTGGCTGCCCTCGCTGCTCTCCAGGTCCCGCACGCCCAGCAGCTCTGCGGAGGGGGGAGGGGCGGAGCGGCTGGTGCTGCCCAGGGGGTCGAACACAAAGACCACGCCCACAGCGGTGAAGAGCAGGATGATCCAGCTGAGGGCAGAGGGAAGTCTGAGAAACCACTAAACCAGACCAAAACCAAACTAAACTGTGTCTGTGTGATATTCCCTGCACATGGTATGAAACATTATCCAGAATCGTTTTTAAAAAAGGCAGAAAACATCTCAATTTGTGACGTCATGGTCTGAGAGTCAAAGCCTAACAAAGACAAAGATAAGAGAGGACAGTAGTAAGAGCACACAAAATATACAATATAGTAGCTGTGAATGCTTCATAAGAGCAGGAGAAGGACGGATGACAGACTATTATATACACATCTGGTAGGAATATGTCCTTCCCAATTTGTGCCAGAAGTTCCACGTAAAAACATAGATGGAACGTTTCAAGAGTTTCTTTGTTCTTCCGGCTGTCAGACTGTACAACAAACCTGGATGAGTCTCCTGCTGCTGGACACCTGCATTTCTCCAGCGGGGATCAATAAAGTATCTATCTATCTAGAGTTTTGAGGTATGTTAGTGAGAGAGTGAGAGAGTGAGAGGGTGAGAGAGTGAGAGAGTGAGAGGGTTAGAGGGTGAGAGTGAGAGGGTGAGATGGTGAGAGAGTGAGAGGGTGAGAGGGTGAGATGGTGAGAGGGTGAGAGAGTGAGAGGACGAGAGGGTGAGAGGATGAGAGGATGAGAGGGTGAGAGGATGAGAGAGTGAGAGGGTGAGAGGATGAGAGGGTGAGAGAGTGAGAGGGTGCGAGAGTGAGAGGGTGAGAGAGTGAGAGGGTGAGATAGTGAGAGGATGAGAGAGTGAGAGGGTGAGATAGTGAGATAGTGAGAGAGTGAGAGAGGGTGAGAGAGTGAGAGAGAGAGAGAGTGAGAGAGTGAGAGAGTGAGAGAGTGAGAGAGTGAGAGAGTGAGATGGTGAGAGAGTGAGAGGGTGAGAGAGTGAGGGGGTGAGAGAGTGAGAGGGTGAGAGGGTAAGAGAGAGAGAGGGTGAGAGAGTGAGTTAGTGAGAGAGTGAGAGGGTGAGAGAGTGAGGGGGTGAGATAGTGAGAGAGTGAGAGGGTGAGAGAGTGAGAGGGTGAGAGAGTGAGAGGGTGAGAGGGTGAGAGAGTGAGAGAGTGAGAGGGTGAGGGTGTGAGAGAGTGAGAGAGTGAGAGGGTGAGCGAGTGAGAGGGTGAGGGGGTGAGAGAGTGAGAGGGTGAGAGAGTGAGAGGGTGAGAGAGTGAGAGGGTGAGAGGGTGAGGGGGTGAGAGAGAGAGAGTGAGAGGGTGAGCGAGTGAGAGGTGAGAGAGTGAGAGGGTGAGCGAGTGAGAGAGTGAGAGGGTGAGATAGTGAGAGAGTGAGAGAGTGAGAGAGTGAGATAGTGAGAGGGTGAGGGGGTGAGAGAGTGAGAGAGTGAGAGAGTGAGAGAGTGAGATAGTGAGAGGGTGAGGGGGTGAGAGAGTGAGAGGGTGAGAGAGTGAGATAGTGAGAGAGTGAGAGGATGAGTCTCCTGCTGCTGGACACCTGCATTTCTCCAGCGGGGAACAATAAAGTATCTATCTATCTAGAGTTTTGAGTTTTTTGGAAGGAACAATGTTGAATTAAAACCTTGAAGTTAGAATATATTAAAGTCTCTCTCATATCTGACCGACCTGAAAAATACAGTTTTTTTATCTAATCTAGTTACAGAAGCCTTTTACAGAAACGGTCCCGCAGTGTAACTCAAGACACTTACCTGGCAACCACAGCGGCGATGACGGCGCCCACGGTGGCAGGGTCGCACCCTTTGCTGTCGTCAGAGACCCACGTGGCCCCCAGACAGGCCCAGGCCAGCTCGGGCAGGTACAGCAGGGCCCGCAGGTAGACCAGGCCAGTGAGCGAGCGGCGAGGACCGGGGTTTGTGATGGTCCCTGGAACACAACACCAAAGACTTCACATGTCGTAGACCGCCACGATATCAGAAGATTTATCAGAAGACAAGGAAAAATGAGACCTAATGATCATGTGTTATTCAGTATTACATCAAGAACAATTGAAAATACATTATTTTTATATACAATATTATTTTATGGGCTTTTGAAGGGGAAGCAAGTTACTCTACTCTCTCATTGTACACATGTAAAAATATCTATGTACAGTAACTCGTTAAAAACATGTACAATAGGTCTGTGCCTCCTGTCCTGGCCCCGCCCCCATCTCTGTGTGGAGAGAGAGACAAATGCCCACAAGTGTAAACCGCTTTGACTCTGGTCTGAGAAAGGCACTCTATAGATATTACTTACATACTTACTAACGTACTTAGTTCCCCTCAGTCTCAAAACAGTTTGGTTCTATCAGCTCTCAGAGTCAAATAGTGACTCACAAGGCAGTTTTTTACAGCAAAAGATAACACGTGTTCTAATAACAATAACATTTTACTTTTATAAGACTCTTCATTAGAACATGTATAATTTATGAAACTAAACGTAAAGTACCACAGCTTTGAGCGCAATATTATTTTTATTCTTGCCATGTTCTTTCCATTATTTTAGATAAGATATAATTTATTCATCCCACAGAGAGGAAAGGTTGTAGCGTACATACAGGGCAGTAGTAAGACCACACAGGGAGCACACAACATAATAAATAGCTGCTATGTTTCGTAGCTAGCTGTAAATGCTGCTTGTATTATACAGTGTAAACTAAAGTGTAGCTCGGTGGACATTCTGAAATTTGAGGCAACATCCTTTAGTTGAATATGTCTGATGCAATATTCTATAGTTAGAAAATAAAAGATCTATCCATTAAACTATAGGGTGAATATTCTCCATGGTAACAGCAGGAGGGTGTTAGGACTGTGGTGATGATCCAGGACAACCGGCATTCAACAATTCAATGGTCTCTGCTCCTGCTTTTTATCATTATACTTCCAGTGTTTGTACTGATCTGTGTTGGTGAATATCTACAGCTGTGTAAAGTCCCCCGAGATAACTACTGTTGTGATTTACGTCTGTATATATATATATATAATATATACAGTCTATGGTCTGTACACAGATACATTGAATTGTATGCCATTACCTTGCGCACTGATGTAAACAATAGCTCCCAATGAGGAAATGATGAATCCCAGAATGATCAGCAATCCAACCAGGTAACTGTGAAGCACTCCACCTCCGCTGCAGTCGAAATGCCCTTTGTGGTAAATGTACAGGATCAGCGTGCCAATCCACCTGTACAGCAGAAAACACCAATTAAAACTCATTTAAAACAAAAAAACATAGAGCCTTTACTTACCACAGCACTCGGGTCGTCATTTCGAAAGCTCCGGGGAAAACCAGGTCGTCACTGGCGATTCCCCAACGCCGACCGAAAGCCACCATCCCGGGCATGGTGAAGGCACAGGCGGGTCCGCGACTGTCCGCTTCCAAAGCCTCCAAAGCCTCTCTTTATCGGCTTGAAATGTGACTCTGCGACATGATTTCACATCTGCGAGGTCACACCCGGTCGTGCAAACGCTGTCCCCATGTTCACTGACGACTATAATAATAATAATAATAATAATAATAATCTATATGAAGGTGGGCATGATCCACGGTCTGCGGTAATATATCTGTAATCTATCTACAGAATTATAGATAAAAATGACAGAGAACCCGGGTCCTGCCACATTCGCGATGCTAAACGTAACAAATAAATGAGATTAGGTGATTCACTTTCCCGTGACAGTCTTTAGCTTGTAGCATTAGCCCTCAATGTTTGTCATTCTGGTGTTGTTCTGATAACTAAGCTAACCGTGCGCATGCGCCGTGACTGCAGCTGTATTTAAATAGTGTGGTTTAATATTACATGTTGCTTATTTGTTGTTGTTGTTGTTGTTATTGCGTAAAACAGCCATATACCGGACATTTAAAATAACGGGGCTGTTTTGTTTTGCTTACCAGCTGTGTGACCATTGGGATTATGCCCCCCCAGATACAAAAGCTGTCAAACGAAGGTTCCGCTGCGCTCTCTGCTGGCGTCATGTTTTCGTATGTTTTTCAGAGTGTGTGGCTTCATGGGCTTTTTCACACTAAAGGGTGCAAAAGTGTGACAGGTGGTCAAAAAATAGATTTTAATAATCAGAAGATGTATGATGATTTTCATTTATTCAAATACCTCTTCTGTCCATTAGTATTAGAAAAGAGAACTGTTTTAGACATCAGTTACGTTTTTTTCTGCACAGAGTAGAAAAAAACTGATTTATTTCATTTAGTAAACCAAATTAATGTGATCCCAGACCATCATTTTCTTTCCTCAAGTTTAATTTTTAGAAAAATATCATCACGTTACGATTTGTATTGATTCTTTTCAAAAAAATATTTCCTGATTTTGTGTTTATATTAATCTGTGGGTCTTCATCTGTCGTTTTGTCACTGTCCTTTTATTTTCTATCACTGGAGTCACAGTCGCCTCCAGTCAGAGGTTGATGTGGTTGTAGGGTGGGGGTGCAGGGTGCTAGTTTGGTTCTGAGTATGGGGGGCGGGCCTACCAGGGGGGGATAGGGAAGATTGTTTTGATACAACGCTCTCTTGCTCGGGAGTACTAACCAGGTACTAACGGTGGAGCTGTACAGTAACCATCTTGTAATAAAGCAACAAGTAGAACACTGTCTTATTCATTAACTCGACCCAAGACGTTATAAAGGCTCTTGAATTAACTCAAACACTTTAGGTTTACAATATTAAGGAGTTCTTAGGAACTTGTGTCATGAACGCACACTTTGGACCACAGATTAGTAGCAAGAAAAGGGTGTTTTCCCTCTCGTCACTGTCTGTCTCTGGTAAAAGGCAGGGCGCCCTCTAACGGACACTCACGGAACAACATGTACACAGTGGTAGTATGATTATTATATTATAATTTTTTCTACTCTATGATAGTAATTTTAGTTATTGAGTTATTACCTTTTAAAGTCCATATTCTATAATTGACACTTTACTCAAAACACATCCTCATAATCCGAATTGATATTACATAACATATTACATCGATGGAATAGACCAGCCGTTCCCAAACTCAGAAACACCGAGGCCCCCTTAAAAATCTGACGGGTCTGCGTGGCCCCCCAAAATAATAACCAAGAAGACAACATTAAGAATAGGCTCTTCTGGTTATTTTATTTTGGGGAAATAGCCTCTGCTACAAACATTGTAATACAAAAATGATTACAGTGGATTATTCAAGTCAAATAATGAACACAAATATTTTAATATTACAAACAAAACATTATAAATTTAACATTAAATAATCATATTATTTTTTTATTTTTTTTATGACCTCCCGCGGCCCCCCTGCAGTACCCTGCACCCCACTTTGGGAGACACTGGAATAGACAAACAAATACTTCCTTCATTCGTTCCTTGTTCTGTAAAATCATGAGACAGAAAGCTGATAAGTGTTGAGGATGGACAAATATCATTAGAAGAAAGGAAAAGGGATGAGATTCTTAACAGAATGTGTGTTTATTTGTAATTATAACAAATAATAGTTCTCAGCTCGTTGTTTATCGATTTGTTTTTCATAATGATAATCATTTGGTCATTCCTACTTTTATTACACTAATAACTGCTTCTGTACATCATTGTTTGAACATCTTTTGTATGATTGATTGTAGTCAAACTTTTAAGTGGCAGACATGGATCCTGGCACATAGTGTTAGTTTATATAATTAGATGTGAGCCTCTGTAACACGTGGTTCTATGGTGTAATGGTTAGCACTCTGGACTCTGAATCCAGCGATCCGAGTTCAAATCTCGGTAGAACCTGTCTTTTGTCTCTGTTTAGTTTCCTTTGCTTCTGATTTTCTTCAGTAGCATAATCGGCGTGACTACTACCAAGGCGCACGTTTTTCTTATGTTTTTTGCGCACATTTATGCACGTCAGTTGCTTTGAGGTCAGACGTAATGACGTCATTGGAACATGGCGGCGCACGTAGTCCGACAGTCTGCATTGTTTTGTTTCAGACCAACAGAACATGGCTTTTCCAATCAAATAGTTAAACACTTAACCAGTAGTTTTAAGATATGCGCGGTTTATGGAGCCAAAGGGTCGGATCCATCTCAGGTGAGAGGATTACAAAGCTGAGAATGATGTAGCAGGAACATAAATGATGATATTATCTCTTTTTAGGAGAACCCAGTGCACGTCCCAGTCGGTCAGTATCCACAGACTTCATGCATTAAAATGAAATCAAAAAGTGTGGATTTAAAACTAAATGATGTTATTGTCTGATTTTAGAGCGACTAACAGTGTCCTACAGTAGAAGTAGTGGAGCTGGTGGTCAACATGTCAATAAAGGTTTGTTTATGACATACATTTAATGAGATATAAATACTTATTTACACTTTGTTCTATATTTCAGTAAACACAAAAGCTGAAGTCCGATTCCATGTACGAACAGCAGACTGGATCCCAGAAGATGTCAGACAGAAAATCCTGGAAAAGGTGACTTAATGACTCCAAATGTAATGAGCTCTTTTAGTGGTTTAATAAAGTCAATAAAAATAACAGTGAAAACACTCCAAATTAAACCAAAAAGCTCAATTATGATGTGTACATGTTGACACATATGTACATGTACATATGTACATATGTTTTCTCTCAAGTTCCAGTTGTTTCAATTGTTTCTTTCTCTCAGACAGAATAAAGGCAGTACACAGTTTATATAGTCATTGTCACGTCACACATGGAAAGACATACGTGTCACACAGAGACAGTCACATCATAGTCATAACATGGAGTCCTTGTACAGTCCTGCACGTAGGCCATATTACTATCTAATACTAACATACTATCCATAAGACTTGTGAGTAGTGAGTTTTTTTTCCTGAAAATTGTTTTATTTCTGAAACATTCATTCAAGTATTTGCAAATATTATCTCATAAAGAACAAAAACCGAATCAACAAATCCGGTGAGCTCCTGGTGACGTCAGAGGTGAGCAGGAGCCAGCACCGGAACCTGGGAGAGTGCGTTCAGAAGATCTCTGACATCATCGCTGACGCCACAGAGAAACCGTATCATCCAGACCCCGAAGACGTCGCACTCAGAGCGGCAAGGTACTGTGCTTTTATTTATCATATTTTTATGTTGATAAGGGTTTTTTGTCCTATGATCAAAGACGTTTTATTCTGCACAGGTTGGAGAAGAGGGATAAAGAACGGCTGCGGCAAAAGAAAATAGCATCAAACATAAAACAGAACAGACGAGTGGGTTTTGACTGACTTGTACATTTCTCTGTGTATGTTTCCTTTTTAATTCAAATAAAGTAATATTTTATATACCCGCGCTTTTCCAGATATTTTACCTCTGCAGTCTGCGTGTTACTTATACATGTAGTTTAGTATTTGTGTGAATTAAATAAGCTGTGTTTTCTAATGAGTTCATAAGAATGCTTATTACTACATACAAGTTGTGTTAAAATCCGTAATTTTATTAAAAACTTGAGCTCATTGATTCAGCTTTTGTATGAATTCAGGCCGTATAAAAGTGCTGAGTAGAAACTTAGTGTGACGCTCGCTCTCCTCCAATCACAGAACTGCCTCTGGCTGTAACTGCAGACACAGCAAAACAGCCCAAACCACACAACAGTGAGGAAAAGAAGAGGAACTAAAGCCAAAACATGATCAAAGAAGAAACCAAGCCCTGAACAGAGCTAGCTTACATCGTATCCTCTGGAGAGACTGGTCTATGAGAGAGACCTGCGGGACCGCCTCGGACTATCTGCGCTCGGACTATCTGCGCTCGGACTATCTGCGCTCGGACTATCTGCGCTCGGACTATCTACGCTCGGACCACATTTGGACACGAAACTACGGAAGCTTGTTAGGTTCACTTGTGAGTGTGTTTTTTTTCTGCTGGTATCATGTTATTTCATGATACTTTCATGAAATAACATGATAAATATGTTATTTCATGATACACAACTATCATGTTATTTCATGATACCAATTTATCATGAAATTTCATGATACTGTAGATACAGAAGAAGAAGAAGCTGTCAGCTTCTGATAAATTGGTATCATGAAATTTCATGATAAATTGATAGTTGTGTATCATGAAATAACACGATAGTTGTGTATCATGAAATAACACGATAGTTGTGTATCATGAAATAACATGATAAATTCCATCCATCCATCCATCCATTTTCTTCCGCTTCATCCGTTGCCGGGTCGCGGGGGCAGCAGTCTAAGCAGAGACGCCCAGACTTCCCTCTCCACACACACTTCCTCCAGCTCGTCCGGGGGGACCCCAAGGCGTTCCCAGGCCAGCTGAGAGACATAGTCCCTCCAGCGTGTCCTAGGTCTTCCCCGGGGACTCCTCCCGGTGGGACGTGCCCGGAACACCTCCTCAGGGAGGCGTCCAGGAGGCATCCGGAACAGATGCCCGAGCCACCTCAACTGGTTCCTCTCGACGTGGAGAAGCAGCGGCTCTACTCCGAGCTCCTCCCGTGTGACTGAGCTCCTCACCCTATCTCTAAGGGAGCGACCAGCCACTCTGCGGTGGCTGAAATATGAAATAACATGATAGTTGTGTAAATAACATGATAGTTGTGTATCATGAAATAACATGATACCAGCGGGGAAAAAAAAACCACTCACAAGTGAACCTAACAAGCTTCCGTACGAAACTAGCGGTAATCTTTCAGTTATATATTTTGTTAGCAGTGCGTTGCTTTAGTGCCATTTCATCAGTGATTGTTGTACAGCTTTCAAGAAAGCGCACTTATGAAATATAACGCTTATAATTTTATCTTTATCTTACATATGGGAAGTTTTCCCAATATTTGTTCGAGTTTATTTTCATACTAATTAAGTAACGGCACAGTCTGTTGGAAAGTCAGGAGCCTGCATATGGTGTAAAAAAAAAATGGCACTACGAACGCCAGAAAATTATTAGCAGAGGATGGTTTCGATCCATCGACCTCTGGGTTATGGGCCCAGCACGCTTCCGCTGCGCCACTCTGCTTGTTCTGCCGTGTCGAAAGAAAATGTATTTATACTAAAACTGACCTGCTTTTTGTGTGGTGTGTTTTTGTATCTTAATAATTCTTTATCGTTGCCATAAAAAAGCACTGTTCAATCAATCAATCAATCAAAGTTTATTTGTAGAGCGCCTTTCATACACATGGCAACACAAAGCGCTTCACAGTCCACATCACAAATCATCACATAAAACAAACACCAGAATCACAATTAAAACATTAAAATCACACAAAAGATTAAAACACAATTAAAACATTAAAATCACACAAAAGAATAAAACCATTAAAACTTTCAAAATTACACAAGAAATTTAAATAAATAAATAAATGACAGCAGTGCATTAAAAATGGAGATAAAATCCTTCAGTTGTATGCACAGGCAAACAGAACAGTCTTTAACCTGGATTTGAACATTGACAGAGTAGACGCCTCCCTCACATTTTCAGGGAGATTGTTCCAGATCTTAGCTGCATGGATCTGAAACGCAGCCTCCCCATGTTTGGTTCTCACTCTGGGCACCAGCAGGAGGCCAGTCCCTGTGCTCCTCAGAGTCCGGGCCGGTTCATATGACACCAACATGTCACTAATGTATTCTGGTGCAAGGCCATGGAGAGACTTGTACACAAGCAGAGCCGTTTTAAAATCTATTCTTTGAGCCACAGGAAGCCAGTGCAGAGACCTGAGGACCGGACTAATATGGTCATACTTCCTGGTTCCTGTCAGGACTCTAGCTGCTGCATTTTGGATGTACTGCAGCTGCTTACAGGTCTGTTTGGACAGACCTGTAAGCAGGCCATTGCAGTAGTCTAGCCTGCTGGAGACAAATGCATGGACAAGAATCTCCAAGTCTGCCCTGGACACTATATTTCTAACTTTGGCAATGTTCTTCAGATGGTAAAAAGCTGTTGATGTTATTGATTTTATGTGGCTATTGAAATTTAGGTCTGAGTCCAGTATTACCCCCAAATTTCTGACCTTGTCTGAAGGAAGTAGGGAGAGAGACTGAAGTTGACAAATGACGCCCTCTCTTTGTTTCTGGGGACCAAAGACAATGATTTCGGTTTTGTCTGTATTTAGCTGGAGGAAATTATTTTGCATCCAGTCACTGATCTGTTGGATACAGTGAAGGAGCAAATCCAGTGGTCCATGTTCTCCTGCAGTCAGTGAGACATAGATCTGAGTGTCGTCAGCGTAATTGTGGTAGGACACTTTGTTTCTTTGTATTAACTGACCTAACGGCAGCATGTAGAGATTAAATAGGAGAGGTCCCAGGATCGACCCCTGTGGTACACCACAGGTCAGGGCCACATCATCTGAGACGCAGTCTCCAATCTCCACAGAGTACTTCCTATCCTCCAGGTAAGACCTAAACCAGTCTAGGGCTGTGCCAGTGACACCAGCCCAGTCCTCCAGTCTCTGCATGAGGATCTCATGGTCGACAGTGTCGAACGCGGCACTAAGATCTAACATGACCAAAACTGTGACTTTACCTGCATCAGTGTGAAGTCGAATGTCGTTTGTTACCTTCACTAGAGCGGTCTCAGTGCTGTGGTGGGGTCTAAACCCAGACTGGAACATATCAAAAGAATTATTCATTGTTAAAAATTCAGTAAGTTGTTGGGAGGCCACTTTTTCAAGAATTTTTCCAATAAATGGCAGATTCGATATGGGGCGATAATTTTGAAGTCCCGCAGGATCCAGACTGCTCTTTTTTAGGAGAGGTCTTATGACTGCTGTTTTTAGGGCCATAGGAAATGTTCCTGACGACAGAGACATGTTTACTATTTGTGTCAGTGAAGGTAACAAACTGCTCAGGACGGACTTCAGAAATTTAGAGGGCAATATATCCAGGCTACATGTGGAGGAGCTCAGACTCATGATTATCTTTTTGACAGTTTCAGTATCCACAGGTGCAAAGTGAGTTAGCTTTATGTGTACATAAAGAATGGGAGAAGACCTGTGTTTTGCCGTTGTATAAAGCATTGATAATGTGTGACGTCACAATCTCAAGTAAGAGCACGTAACGTAAGTGTTACATACGAACTATCTCTAGCGATTCAAACTTACAAAATTGTCCGGCTGCATTACACGAGTAGTAATTACTGTGTAAATGTTTCAGAAGGAAAAAAAAAAAAAGACAAAAAAGCGACCACGAAGGGACTCGAACCCTCAATCTTCTGATCCGAAGTCAGACGCCTTATCCATTAGGCCACGCGGTCGGATCCATTTGAACGGAGACACGTACGCTACATAAAGGTCTAGTCCAGTTTCTGATTTGGAAACGATTCCGTTTCCGAATCAGAATCCTTTTAGATTCGTTATTTTGCTCACAATTAATACTTTCCCTTATGTTCGTACCTATTTTATTAGTTTTATCATACATTATGAATAATTATCCATACCCGAGTTGACTTTTACAATAAAATATTTAATAAAAGTTGCAAATTATACATACATACAGTTTTAGTGGCTTTTACATGTAGGCACCAAAGTAAGTTGCAAAAATACCAAGGCAATTTTAGACACGCGCGCACACACACACAAATAAATACACTGTTCCCATTACCAACGGTACAAACGCTAGATACGTAAGTGAGGCACATTCTACAAACATTTTCTGATTCAGTTTCATTTTCCAACATTGTCAACTTTCTATCAACACAGAGGTTTCCACACTTTCGATTCCCTGACCTACCACAAACCATATTACCATCATCAATATCAATCTTGTGTCTGTCCCATATCCACACAACACAGTGACAATGCATGAATAAAAGAAAATACAGCGTCACATGGATAGGTTTCTCTCCTATAATGATTATAATAATGGTGGTATACTAATAAACAGAGAATAAGTGTTATATCTATTCCGATAGTAAGGCATCGTTAAAAACATGATCTAACTAAATATATAGAAATTTGGGAAAAAGCTATGGCTAATGTTGAGGTGCTAATTGTCGAAGGGCTTGCTAAACATTTGAGACGTTAATAAACTTTGTCTAATCGTACTAATAGTAGAATGCCTTATAAATGGTTGGAAAAGTAATTGAACCATTATTTAAAACACAAGAGACAAAAGCAAGTTGATGATTCTATGATAAAGAACGGTTAAATGTATGATATTGTTTTACATGAACTGATGTTCTGTGCTCCCAATGAAATCCACCACTTAACATGGGAAAAATGAACTTATCAATGAAGTAACTTTCCTGATAATACATTTGAACTTATCCCAAATATGGACTTTCTGTATACAATTTGTCGAATCTCTCTTCTTCGGCAGAAATTATTACACAATCATGAACATCAAAGATCAAAGCTCGCAGAGAACACTGAACTCTCCTTTGTAGATTTTCTTGTGATCTTATCGTGGAAACAAACCCTGGTCTGAATGTGAGAAATAAGTTAGGAATAAACTTGGACAAATTGATTGCTTGAATTCAGATTTTTAGACTGAAAAGTAGAATCTTCGTACAGTCTAAGGTCAATTCCTAAGAAATGTGTTAATTTCTTTCACACATTTTGGGACTTTTTCATCACTGGTTGCAATAATTAAATCATCAACCCAGATAATGGTGTATATCTTTTAATTTTTATGCTAGTGCTTGCTATCTTTGCCTGATTTCCCTTTAGCCTTGGCCGCTTTGGTGGCTTTGATATCCAACTTTGTCTTCTGGATACGAGAGAATATCTCCTTGAAAAGCGTCTTGTACTCGGGTGCGCTCTGCCCCAGCCGCTTGTCCACGGCCTCCGCTTGGCGACCAATGCTCTCCATGGCCTCAGGCGTGGACGGCGACTCCAGTGTGGGCGTGGTCGGGGGCTCCTGTGTGGGCGTGGTCGGGGGCTCCTGTGTGGGCGTGGTTGGGGGCGGGGCTGGGATGGCGGCGCCGTAGTCTTTCACAGACAGGTCACGAGACACGGGGCGCGACGTCTGCACCTCGGCGTTGCACATGCTCTCCTCGTTGCGTCTGCATTTCCCGAGCAGCTCCTCGTACTTCTCCAGCAGGACGTGGTACTGCTCGTCCACCTCGCGCAGGATGGACATGCCGCGTTTGCGCACGCTGTTAGCATGGATCGCGTAGCTGCCTCGCCGGCGGCCGGATGGGTCTCGGGCCACAATGGCGTTCAGGGCCGTATCGCTGCAGCTCTTCCTCACGGGGGCGGAGTCAGGTAAGGACTGGCCCCCGGAGCCCTGGGGGGCCTCTCGCACGCCGCCCCCAGACTCCACCGCATCCTCCTCCATAAAGGTGTCGGTCTCAGGGGTGCTCTGCAGGACGGTCTGGGTCAGCGTCAGGCCGTCCTCGTCGGAGCTCAGGAAGTAAGTGCGAGCGCGGCGCAGCTGCTGCAGCTCCAGCAGTTCCACCTCCAGCTCCCGCACTCGCGCCTGGCAGCTCTCTGCGTCCTGGAACACAGCAGACATCGGTCAGTCACGGTTTGCATTGGTCTCTGCTCCTTATGGACCAATGGCTCCATGTGTTTTTATTGTTGCATTTCTTGTGTTGAACTGATCTGTTTAAGGGTTGTCCTGTTCAAGGCAGACAATTGAGATGCTATAACCTTGACATGTTTTGACAGTATACTTTTGAAACATGTCACAGCCAAAACATGTTAAGGTCATAAAATCTCTATCTTGTCTGAAATAAAAGAACCAAAAAAACCTTCATAATTCAAGGTGTGCAAATGACCATTTAATAGAATAATATTGAAACTAATGTCACATAAAAGTCATGTGAAAATACTTTCATAAGATAAAAAACAAATATAAGAAAAAAAGTTCCTAGACAATCTATGAGTCCTATTTCTTTTATTCGGCCCCTGACAATAATGACTTTGACAGCTCTGCCTTAGACCATGTCTTGTGTATGATCTATCAGGACTCAAGCATGACCCGAGCCCCAGACCTGGACTCACCTGGACCCATGTCTGCAGGAGCGAGGACTCACCTGGACTCGGGTCTGGAGGGGGAGGACTCACCTGGACTCGGGTCTGGAGGGGGAGGACTCACCTGGACTCGTGTTTGGAGGCGGGAGAACTCGGCGAGCAGGAGGTGGCTCTCGCGCTCCACCGTGTCCCTGCGGCCTCTCTCGCTCCTGATGGCGGCTCGCAGGGAGGACACAGCCTCGCGGAGCTGCTGGTTCTCCTCCTCCTCGTACGGCTGCTGCTTCACCTCCACCGTGAAGCTCTCTGCGCGGCCCACCACAAACTCATCCTCGTACCTGCAACGCACACCGCAAAAGGTATTTCAATAAAAAATGGTGAGCCAAATGAGAAAGCAGAAAATCATCAAATTTGACTGACCATGAACGGTATTGTATTCTGTAGAGAGACTACACTTTTAACTAGTAACAAAAAAACAGTTTCAGATCATTTGGCCTTGCAGAGTGCCACAAGGGTCAGTCTTGGGACCTTTTTTGTTTAATCTCCACATCCAGCTCAGTGAGAGCCTTCAAAACGACTTTCTTAGGCATCTGGTTTTAGACTTTGGTGAGACTCTGGGGGTGAGACAGTGGGTGAGACAGTGGATGGTGAGACTGTGTGGGTGAGACTCTGGGGGTGAGACTGTGTGGGTGAGACTCTGGGGGTGAGACTGTGGGGGTGAGACAATGAGAGTGAGACAGTGGGGGGAGACAGTGGGGTGAGGTTGTGGTGGTGAGACAGTGGGTGAGACTGTGGGTGAGACAGTGGGTGGTGAGACTGTGTGGGTGAGACTGTATGGGTGAGACTGTGGGTGAGACAGTGGATGGTGAGACTGTGTGGGTGAGACTGTGGGGGTGAGACAGTGGGTGAGACAGTGGATGGTGAGACTGTGGGTGAGACTGTGGGGGTGACAGTGTGTTGAGACAGTGGGAGTGAGACAGTGGGGTGAGGCTGTGGGGGTGAGACAGGAGACAGTGGGAGTGAGACAGCGAGAGTGAGACAGCTAGATTGAGACAGCGGGGGTGAGACAGTGGGAGTGAGACAGTGGGGGTGAGACAGTGAGAGTGAGACAGTGGGAGTGAGACAGTGAGAGTGAGACAGCGGGGGTGAGACAGTGGGAGTGAGACAGTGGGAGTGAGACAGTGAGAGTGAGACAGTGGGAGTGAGACAGTGGGAGTGAGACAGTGTGGGTGAGACAGTGGGAGTGAGACAGTAAGAGTGAGGCTGTGAGAGTGAGACAGCAGGGGTGAGACAGTGGGAGTGAGACAGTGAGAGTGAGACAGCGGGGGTTAGTCAGTGGGAGTGAGACAGTGGGAGTGAGACAGTGAGAGTGAGACGGTGGGAGTGAGACAGTGAGAGTGAGACAGTGGGGGTGAGACAGTGGGGGTGAGACAGTGGGAGTGAGACAGTGAGGGTGAGACAGTGAGAGTGAGACAGTGGGGGTGAGACAGTGGGCTGAGACAGTGAGAGTGAGACAGTGAGAGTGAGACAGTGAGAGTGAGACAGTGAGAGTGAGACAGTGGGAGTGAGACAGTGAGAGTGAGACAGTGGGAGTGAGACAGTGAGAGTGAGACGGTGGGAATGAGACAGTGAGAGTGAGACAGTGGGGGTGAGACAGTGGGGTGAGACAGTGAGAGTGAGACAGTGAGAGTGAGACAGTGAGAGTGAGACAGTGGGAGTGAGACAGTGAGAGTGAGACAGTGGGGGTGAGACAGTGGGGTGAGACAGTGAGAGTGAGACAGTGAGAGTGAGACAGTGAGAGTGAGACAGTGGGGTGAGACAGTGGGCTGAGACAGTGGGCCGTACTTGGGTGCAGTGCAGAGCTCCCTCAGGCAGGGGAAGGAGTGGATGGTCTTCCTCCTCTCCCTCCTCTCCCTCCGCACTCGCAGCTGTTCCATGGACCTCAGCGACTCCAGCTGCTGCGTCAGAACCTCCACCTGGTTCTGCAGCACCTCCATGGACCCAGTCAGACTGACACACAACACACAGAGACACACACACACAGAGACACACACATACACACACAGAGAGAGACACAGAGACACACACAGAGACACACACACACCTTTAATACAAAATGTGCTTCATGAACAACATTGTCTTTTCTCTTCTACAGATAGTAATGTTTGGTTTCTCTCTGTGTCTGATCGGCTCCTGGGGGTCTCTCTTTCTCTCCTGGGGTCTCTCTCTCTCTCCGGGGTCTCTCTCTCAGACGTGGACTCACCTCTGGATCTTGCTCTGGGAGCTCCTGCTGTCCTGGACCAGGGCGTGGTTGGTGCGCTCCAGCTCTCGGGCCGTCCCGTCCAGCTGCTCGTACACTTTGGCGTGTTGTTCGTTCATCTCCCTCAGAACCTCCAGCTGCTTGGACAGGTACTGGGCAGGGGCAGGAGTGGGGCGGGACAGGGGCGGCACAGGGAAAAAAACAAACTGTTATTTTAGGACGTATTCTTGGGTTTCATCTGACGTCAGGGCAGTGGTGCGAATAACAAACGTGGGACAGGACGTGACGTATCCTGGAGGTGCAGTCTGACGGGTTTATACACGGAGATACAGTAGAAGAAGAAGCGCTGTCAAAACACTATCTTTTTGTGCGGTGTACGCTTGTAGCAACCGCACAAATAGAGAGAAAGACAAGAGTTTGTTCATGTTCCAACTGTGGTCTCATATAAAGGAGGACACTTTGGAAAAATCACTGGAATGAGGCGGGCGAGGTGGATCAAGGCTTTCCCAGATAAGCGCCCCCTGCAGGCCACCCCAATGAAACACAGCTATTTCTTCTGTTTTTTTTTTCCAAAAATGCCCGAAATCAAAACTCTTGAGAATTAAGACTGTTCCAACAACCGTACACAGCACAGGAGGAGAGCCTTTGACTCCAAAACAGACTTTACATGGTTTTCAATGGAAGCAAAACTGAGTTGTCCCACCTCTGCTCATGCGCCCCCTACTGGACAGTTTAATGAAACCCAAGAATTAGTACAGCCCTGATCAGAGTCAATGAGCTCGGGGGTTTGCGTTGTCCAGTGTTTTATTAAAACTATAATAAAAACGAAACTAAAATTAAACAAAACATAAAAACATATATTTGGGCTATAATGGTTATACAGTGCTATAAAAAGCTAAAATATTAGCATTTCTAAAAACAGAAAACCACAGACAAAGAGCTGAAAAGGTGAGAATCTGTGCTGCAGTTATTAGAGCTTCTCAGAAATCTTAGAAAATCCAATCTCTCTAATAAGATAAGACAGACTTTAATAATATATGTGGGTGCAGCTGTGGGTGCAGATGTGGGTGCAGATGTGGGTGCAGCTGTGGGTGCAGATGTGGGTGCAGATGTGGGTGCAGCTGTGGGTGCAGATGTGGGTGCAGATGTGGGTGCAGATGTGGGTGCAGCTGTGGGTGCAGATGTGGGTGCAGCTGTGGGTGCAGCTGTGGGTGCAGATGTGGGTGCAGACGTAGGCGCAGCTGTACCTCGATCTCCTGCACCTGCTCCTCGCTGGTGATGTACATCTGCTGCAGAGAGTCCTCCAGCTCCTTGTTTCTCTCCAGCAGCGTCTTCCCCAACTCCGCGGCCAGATGCAGGTCTGCGGACGGACAAAAGTGACAAATGTAAGGATGCATATTTAATTAGGAGGATATTTTAGTTTAACAGTGTCATGAGAGTAATGAGAGTAATCAGAGGTAGAGCTAATAATAGGAGTCGTCACATGAAGTAAAATGTTCTGTTCTGGATTCAGATGTGTTCAAGTGTTCTGGAGGTGTCAGTGCAGGTGTGACATGTACAGACAAAAACTTAGATAGACAGATACTTTGTTGATCCCTGTAAGAGAAACTGTTATGGCAAAATTCACATTTGAACATATTGTACCAAATTCAATGATACGATTAGAACAAAAGCCTCCTGTGCTTGGGTCACTTTCACATGACCTTAGCCGGGACTGGTACTGCCCAAAACACTCCCTTTGCTCATTAAAATGTTAAATGTTATGACAGGTGTACAATTAATCTTTCTCCCCTCCCTTCTACTAGCTCCTCTTCCTGCGTAAATCAAATAACCACTTTACCCCCCTCGAGATGCCTTGTCCTTTGATCTTTCTTACAGGACTATATTATCAAATGTGAGCAGAGAGAAAGGACGCAGGCTTCTCGTTCGCTCCTGTCTGACTCTGCACAGTGTTATTGTATTGTTTGTTCTCACCTTTTCAATAAATTGCACAAAGACAACTTGTTTTCTCTCAGATCCATTCATTGAAGTATTTACATTTCCACTACAAAACACCATCCAAACAAACAAGTAAATAGATTATTATAAAAGTAGCTAAAACAATAATATTAAAATGCAACAGTCGTTCAGGTCACAGCAGCAGAGGAGGAGGAGCCGCTTGGTTCAGACCATTTTCTCTGCTCTGGTCCAAAGTAAAAGGCTGAATGCTTCATTTGCATTTTTCAAAAAGTTAGCATTCCTCCAGTGGAAATTCACCTGGTCCGCTTGGTTCGGACCATGAATCCTCTCTGCTCTGGTCTGGACCAGTGTAAAACCATGAATCCTCTCTGCTCTGGTCTGGACCAGTGTAAAACCATGAACACTGAACTGCAGCAACATCTCAGGCAGAAAAAAGAAAAATAACAATAGTAAAACACAAAACAACTGTTTCAGAGACACTCAGGACTCGCTGCTGTTTCCAGAACATTCTACAGTAATAAATGATGGATATTTAAAGGGAAACAGTCTAAAGAATATATCCTATTTTCCTGCAGTGATTCTACTTTCACAAAATGGTTCTTCTACAAAGATGAGACAGAGAGGCTTTGACCCAAACTTAACTTTATTATTTGATCTGACTGTCACTCTTCGGTTATTCCATCAGTTCATTTGACTCTCTTTAAACGACCTTTAACAATAGGATTAGTTCTCTAATGCTCTCTGATGGCAATAGTTTTTAGTGAAAAGATTAAATTTGGCTATCAGCCGAATTACAACACAACCCCCCCCCCCCAGAAAATGGATGGATGGATTATGATGTAACAATGTCATATGTTTTAGTTTGGGTAAAATTTCTTCTCAGGAGAAATATTCCAATTTACCCTCGGCAATACATTTTGTAGTGTTTCACATGTTGATTTTGCACAAATATAGATTTTTATGATTCCAACTGTGATCTCTGTAAATCTCTGTATTTTCCTTCCTGCTCAGAACAGGACCATTCCAGGTGTGCATGTTGTGACAGTAAAACACAGAAGAATGTCAGCTCTTTGCAGACTTCGACAGTCCAGGTGAATATTGTCTGTGCTCGTCCTCCGTGTGTCAGTGTCACCTTGTTATTTGTGCCTGAGCATCAGCAGAACAAGCAAAATGGACACACAGCACTCTGCATTTAAAACTGCAGAGACAGGAGCTCACTGCAACCCTCCCCTGCACCAGGCTGTGTATGACTCTGTACGAGGCTGTGGCAGGAGATTTGGGATTAAAACCATTGGAGACGAGTCTGCGGCCTTTCAGACGACAGAGAATTATACAACAAAAGAAAGATAATTATAATAAATAATATTATTTATACAAAAAAGCTGGTGATGGGTCCAGAGCATAGATTAAATATTAAAAGACGTCTCGGGCAGTTTCAAAATGGCCGAGGGGCTGGAAAATGAGAGCTGCACCAGCCCCATTCATTTGATGAGTGCATTCGAAATTCCACAGCAGCTAAACTAGACTGGTCCAAAAAAATACACTCCTCTCAGACAGCATCTGGAATGTAGCTTTGGACCAAGAACCACTTTTGGACCATGCTGTAAAGACGTTTTCAAGAGGTAAGAAGATGCTATATGTTAGCATTGGCTAATTCTTATTCTGGGTCCACCCCCACAGAGTAGAAACAGTAAAATGGTTTCAAGCCTTTTGCGTTTGCGTTCCAAAAGTTTCATTCTTAAAACCAAAAAAGGAGCGCATCTCTCTTGTATCGCTGAATAAAGCCTTGCTGTGTCTAATACAATATCTTCAGCCCTTCCTGTAACTGCACATGTTGTATTTTGGATCATCTTCTACACAAACAAAGTGAGTTTCCAGAGAGAGTCGCAGCATCTGTCCCTGTGCTAACACATCTGTCCCTGTCTCTCCCTGTGCTAACACATCTGTCCCTGTGCTAACACATCTGTCCCTGTGCTAACACATCTGTCCCTGTGCTAACACATCTGTCCCTGTGCTAACACATCTGTCCCTGTGTGAACACATCTGTCCCTGTGCTAACACATCTGTCCCTGTGCTAACACATCTGTCCCTGTGCTAACACATCTGTCCCTGTGCTAACACATCTGTCCCTGTGCTAACACATCTGTCCCTGTGCTAACACATCTGTCCCTGTGCTAACACATCTGTCCCTGTGCTAACACATCTGTCCCTGTGCTAACACATCTGTCCCTGTGCTAACACATCTGTCCCTGTGCTAACACATCTGTCCCTGTGCTAACACATCTGTCCCTGTGCGAACACATCTGTCCCTGTGCTAACACATCTGTCCCTGTGCTAACACATCTGTCCCTGTGCTAACACATCTGTCCCTGTGCTAACACATCTGTCCCTGTGCTAACACATCTGTCCCTGTGCTAACACATCTGTCCCTGTGCAAACACATCTGTCCCTGTGCTAACACATCTGTCCCTGTGCTAACACATCTGTCCCTGTGCTAACACATCTGTCCCTGTGCTAACACATCTGTCCCTGTGCTAACACATCTGTCCCTGTGCTAACACATCTGTCCCTGTGCTAACACATCTGTCCCTGTGCTAACACATCTGTCCCTGTGCTAACACATCTGTCCCTGTGCTAACACATCTGTCCCTGTGCTAACACATCTGTCCCTGTGCTAACACATCTGTCCCTGTCTCTCCCTGTGCTAACACATCTGTCCCTGTGCTAACACATCTGTCCCTGTGCTAACACATCTGTCCCTGTGCTAACACATCTGTCCCTGTGCAAACACATCTGTCCCTGTGCTAACACATCTGTCCTGTGCTAACACATCTGTCCCTGTGCAAACACATCTGTCCCTGTGCTAACACATCTGTCCCTGTGCTAACACATCTGTCCCTGTCTCTCCCTGTGCTAACACATCTGTCCCTGTCTCTCCCTGTGCTAACACATCTGTCCCTGTGCTAACACATCTGTCCCTGTGCTAACACATCTGTCCCTGTGCTAACACATCTGTCCCTGTCTCTCCCTGTGCTAACACATCTGTCCCTGTGCTAACACATCTGTCCCTGTGCTAACACATCTGTCCCTGTGCAAACACATCTGTCCCTGTGCTAACACATCTGTCCCTGTGCTAACACATCTGTCCCTGTGCTAACACATCTGTCCCTGTGCTAACACATCTGTCCCTGTGCTAACACATCTGTCCCTGTGCTAACACATCTGTCCCTGTGCTAACACATCTGTCCCTGTGCTAACACATCTGTCCCTGTGCTAACACATACGTCTGACTGCGGCTTCAGTGCTTCAGTCTCGCCGACATCATGTGCAGATCAGGACCATCGCTCACGGCTGCGGACACTGCTCTGGGAAAGTACTTTACTCTGATCCACAATGTCTGCTTTTCTCACAGAGGAAAACAGTTTGAACGATCAATCTTTCAGTGTTATCTAAAGCTTCTTCTGCTGTTTAAATCTTCATTGTACTTTACACACAGCTACTCGGACGGGTCAACTGCAGACAAGAGAGACGTATGACCAAATCATGATTAAAAATTCCATTAGAATTAGTAAATACTGTATCGATAAAGCGAGAGACTGGGCAGAAGATCCACAAGTATCATTCTGAGAGAGAGAGAAACTCGGTGGATTCAAAACAGGGCCACAAGAGCCAAGAAAACAGTGAAAATCAGAAGAGGAGGAGACCCAGACAAAGAAACTGGAAGAGAGAAGAGGCAGAAAACAGCTCTGTCCAGCTTCATATTCACCGTCCTTTAAATTCAGATTCAAAGCACAATGTTTACACTGTTTTGAGGATTATATAAACTGTATATAACAATAATGCATGAGTTTTATATAACGCGTTCATAGACACTGTTCTTTCACATCAAACACAGGTGATACATTTTGACAGTAGTCACAGCTGCCCTGGGGCACACTGACAGAAGCGAAGCAACCACCAACTGTTCACACACACACCAGACTCATTCTAATGTGGGGGAAGTGTCTTGCCTAAGGACACAACCACACTTTGGCACTTTACAGCCGCTCTCTGATATGTGTCCCAAATAAGAGTAGTTTGATTTCTGAGAGGGGCCAGAAGTTACAAATAATAATAATAATATCATAATACAATACACTTATAGAGCGCTTTTTTGGACACTCAAAGACGCTTTACAAAACACAAAATAAATACTGAGAAACAAAATGAAGGAAAGGCTGAAACAGAGATTTAAAGTTCTGTAGTGAGTCTGAGTTTCTGATGGGTTGAGGGAGTGAGTTCCAGAGAGTGGGGGGTCCCCCAAGGTCCGGTGTTTGTGATGGAGGAGGTCACTGATGGAGGAGGTCAGTGATGGAGGAGGTCAGTGATGGAGGAGGTCAGAGATGGAGGTCAGTGATGGAGGAGGTCAGTGATGGAGGAGGTCAGTGAAGGAGGAGGTCAGAGATGGAGGAGGTCAGTGATGGAGGAGGTCAGAGATGGAGGAGGTCAGAGATGGAGGAGGAGGACAGTGATGGAGGAGGTCAGAGATGGAGGTCAGTGATGGAGGAGGTCAGTGATGGAGGAGGTCAGAGATGGAGGAGGTCAGTGAAGGAGGAGGTCAGAGATGGAGGTCAGTGATGGAGGTCAGTGATGGAGGAGGAGGTCAGTGATGATGGAGGAGGTCAGAGATGGAGGAGGAGGACAGTGATGGAGGAGGTCAGAGATGGAGGTCAGTGATGGAGGAGGTCAGTGATGGAGGAGGTCAGTGATGGAGGAGGTCAGTGATGGAGGAGGTCAGAGATGGAGGAGGTCAGTGAAGGAGGAGGTCAGTGATGGAGGAGGTCAGTGATGGAGGAGGTCAGTGATGGAGGAGGTCAGTGATGGAGGAGGTCAGAGATGGAGGTCAGTGATGGAGGAGGTCAGTGATGGAGGAGGTCAGTGATGGAGGAGGTCAGAGATGGAGGAGGTCAGTGAAGGAGGAGGTCAGTGATGGAGGAGGTCAGAGATGGAGGAGGTCAGTGATGGAGGAGGTCAGAGATGGAGGTCAGTGATGGAGGAGGTCAGAGATGGAGGTCAGTGATGGAGGTCAGTGATGGAGGAGGTCAGTGATGGAGGAGGTCAGAGATGGAGGAGGTCAGTGATGGAGGAGGTCAGAGATGGAGGTCAGTGATGGAGGAGGTCAGTGTGGAGGAGGTCAGTGATGGAGGAGGTCAGAGATGGAGGAGGTCAGTGATGGAGGAGGTCAGAGATGGAGGTCAGAGATGGAGGTCAGTGATGGAGGAGGTCAGTGATGGAGGAGGTCAGTGATGGAGGAGGTCAGTGATGGAGGAGGTCAGTGATGGAGGAGGTCAGTGATGGAGGAGGTCAGTGATGGAGGAGGTCAGTGATGGAGGAGGTCAGAGATGGAGGTCAGTGATGGAGGAGGTCAGTGATGGAGGAGGTCAGTGATGGAGGAGGTCAGTGAAGGAGGAGGTCAGTGAAGGAGGAGGTCAGTGATGGAGGAGGTCAGAGATGGAGGTCAGTGATGGAGGAGGTCAGAGATGGAGGTCAGTGATGGAGGTCAGTGATGGAGGTCAGTGATGGAGGAGGTCAGTGATGGAGGAGGTCAGTGATGGAGGAGGTCAGTGATGGAGGAGGTCAGTGATGGAGGAGGTCAGTGATGGAGGAGGTCAGAGATGGAGGTCAGTGATGGAGGAGGTCAGTGATGGAGGAGGTCAGTGATGGAGGAGGTCAGAGATGGAGGAGGTCAGTGAAGGAGGAGGTCAGTGATGGAGGAGGTCAGAGATGGAGGTCAGTGATGGAGGTCAGTGATGGAGGAGGTCAGAGATGGAGGTCAGTGATGGAGGTCAGTGATGGAGGAGGTCAGTGATGGAGGAGGTCAGTGATGGAGGAGGTCAGAGATGGAGGAGGTCAGTGATGGAGGAGGTCAGAGATGGAGGTCAGTGATGGAGGAGGTCAGTGATGGAGGAGGTCAGAGATGGAGGAGGTCAGTGATGGAGGAGGTCAGAGATGGAGGTCAGTGATGGAGGAGGTCAGTGATGGAGGAGGTCAGTGATGGAGGAGGTCAGTGATGGAGGAGGTCAGTGATGGAGGAGGTCAGTGATGGAGGAGGTCAGTGATGGAGGAGGTCAGAGATGGAGGTCAGTGATGGAGGAGGTCAGTGATGGAGGAGGTCAGTGATGGAGGAGGTCAGAGATGGAGGAGGTCAGTGAAGGAGGAGGTCAGTGATGGAGGAGGTCAGAGATGGAGGTCAGTGATGGAGGAGGTCAGTGATGGAGGAGGTCAGTGATGGAGGAGGTCAGAGATGGAGGAGGTCAGTGAAGGAGGAGGTCAGTGATGGAGGAGGTCAGAGATGGAGGTCAGTGATGGAGGTCAGTGATGGAGGAGGTCAGAGATGGAGGTCAGTGATGGAGGTCAGTGATGGAGGAGGTCAGTGATGGAGGAGGTCAGTGATGGAGGAGGTCAGTGATGGAGGAGGTCAGAGATGGAGGGTCAGTGATGGAGGTCAGTGATGGAGGAGGTCAGTGATGGAGGAGGTCAGTGATGGAGGAGGTCAGTGATGGAGGAGGTCAGAGATGGAGGTCAGTGATGGAGGAGGAGGTCAGTGATGGAGGAGGTCAGTGATGGAGGAGGTCAGAGATGGAGGAGGTCAGTGAAGGAGGAGGTCAGTGATGGAGGAGGTCAGAGATGGAGGTCAGTGTGGAGGTCAGTGATGGAGGAGGTCAGAGATGGAGGTCAGTGATGGAGGTCAGTGATGGAGGAGGTCAGTGATGGAGGAGGTCAGTGATGGAGGAGGTCAGAGATGGAGGAGGTCAGTGATGGAGGAGGTCAGAGATGGAGGTCAGTGATGGAGGAGGTCAGT